CTGGTGGAAATATAAATTAGTTCAGCCACCATGAAATCAGTATGCGGGTTTTTAAGAGAACTGAAAACAGACCTGTCGTATGACCCAGCTGTACCAAAGAATTCCAAGTGGATATTTCATAAAGAGTCTTGAGCATCAAAGCTTTCTGCAACCCTATTTACAACAGCTAAGCTCATGAGCCCACCCAGGCATCCAGTAACAGGGGAATGGGTCAAAAAAGATGTGTTTTATATGCAAACAGGATTCTCTTTTCAGTCATGAGGAGCAGACATTCTTTTAAGAGAGAAATGTTTTCTCTCGTTTTGGTTTCTAGATTTTATACAAATGCATAAAATCTTGGATGTCTATATGCCATGAAAGTGGAAACAAAGCTGTGCAGAGCCCATGGGGCTCTTGGAAAAAGGAGGGGGCTTGTGAAAGGCATGTGTGGGTCTGCTAAAAAATACATGACCTTATTTAACCCATCATGAAGTACAATGGACATATACCAACAAGGAATTAGGAACACACTGTACGCCGACACAATGCTGGGTTCTAAGCCCTTGTTCCTTAATTCCATATGGTCAAGGCCTTATCCATTGACGTCGTGAGGATGGCATGAAACTTCCCATCAGGCACTGCAGTGCCTGCTCTACACTGCACATTTTCATGATTATGACAATTCTATAAAACTATTGTTAAGAAGACTATGCCTTCTCTTCAATTTGTACTTGGTATTCACACTTGTCCTTGCACTTGGGCGCTAGAGTGCTGCCTCAGAGAGCTTGTTGGCATGTCTGCAGTATGAGGGACATTCACAGGTCTTGCTCATCTTGCAGTTAGATGCAGGCGACACGCCGCTCTGTCTCCAGTGACAGATGGAAGGTGAGGTAAAGGTTTCTCACTTTGGTGCCCCGTACCACAGGGCGGCAGCTGGTTGATATGAGGGCAATCATCTCTGTCTTATTGAATATCTATCAGTACATTGTTCTATGATTAAATGTCAACCTACAGAGCACAGCAATGGAATTGGAAGTTATTAACGTAAGGGAGAAACAATAGAGCAGCCATAAGCGTGGGATGTGGCAAAAGTCAGGGCATGTCGGGTCATTTAAACCCGCAGTGTTTTCCAATGGCATTGTCACACATTCCCCCAATAGAGAGCTGAGACGGGGACAGACATGAGCAACAGTGATAAAAGCTGTGAACCATTTCTCCATCTTAACGAGAGGGGTAATAACCACATGGCAAGAAACAAGATCATCTGACCCCTGGTTACAATGCTACCTATGTCTTCTGACTACCCAGTTGGCCATGAGCCTTTCCGTGGTGTTGTGTTAATTTTATATTTTTCTTCTAGATTTTTATTAAAGCAAAGATAATGTGAACATGATAGATTTATGTCAAATTTATGAAGAAGAGTAATCGTTTGCTTTATGGGACAAAGATTGATGGGTGAAATGTTTTAACCTGACTCTTTCCATTGCTTTAACCTGACAAGTTTATTTTCCACCACTGACTTGATTGGTATCTAATAGGTAACTTTTAGGTTTGGACTTTTATTAAAGGGATAGTTCAGAGTCAGTGGGGGCAAGAAGGAGTCCCTGACGTTTTGGCTACTGTAAGGCTACAGTGGCATTGTGAAATAAAGAAATGTTCTCTGTTAAGAATAATTACATACCATGTAAAAACCTAGGGCAATGACTGTCACATTGAAAACCTGCCATTTGCCTGCAACTTCTGCTTTCGAAGAATTTTTGATTTATGTTTTCACAAGCTTCTATCCACATTACTTTTGTGAATGACTGTAAATGCATAATACAAAGAGTAAGCTTTTAATTTTTTTTTACACAGTCTAATTAACATTTAAAGCCATCAACAGGGCTATATCACCCTAGTCTTTTGGATTATCAAAATGAGTATTTGAAATGGGTCAGCAAAAAGGGAAATTATTCCTTCTTCAAAACTATCTTTCTGACTCAGTTATTACAATGGAACTGCATCTGTAGAGTCTTATTTTCATAGGATTTTGGGCTCTATATAACTCTTATTTGATAAGGAGGTCAGTCCCTTTTCCTCTCCCTTCCTCCTCTCTCATCTCTTTTACAATCTCCATTTTTCTTCTCTAGGGTCCCTCTATCTCATGTTAATAGCAAAGTAATAAGACAAAGTAAACACAATTAACACGTGTATTCTTTTAAAAATGTGCCTTTAACAAGCTGATGGGCCAATAGTCGAGCATGATAAAGTTAGGAAGGAAAACCAAACTGAGAATGATGGGATGAGGAAGGGCAGAGGCAGAAGAGTCGCCAGCTGGATGGACAACGATTGTACACACAAAATGCGATAGAGGTGAAAGCCATGAGCCCCAGGGCACCACAGATGAATAGAAATGGGTTACGTTGCATGAGCTAGTTAGTAACAAGCCTGAACTATTGGCCAAGCATTTGTAATTAATATTAAGCCTCTGAGTAAACTTTTGGGAGCGGCTGCAGGACAAGAAAAGTCTGCCTACAGGCGTGTGTGTCTCTGTGTGAGCATGTTAACACATGTGTGGGGATCCACAGGCGACCAGAGATGTTGGATCTCTCTGGGTCTAGAATTAGTTTCTGGGAACTGAACTCAGGTCATCTGTAAGAGCAGTGAATCCTCTCAACTGCCAATCTGTCTCTTTAGCCCTAGCATGTTCATTCCTATTTCCCCAGCACAGAAAGAGACATTTTGTATCTTTTTGTTAAGGAAAGATGACTCTTTTTTTTTTTTTTTAGTTTTTCAAGACAGGGTTTCTCTGTAGCTTTGGAGCCTGTCCTGGCACTAGCTCTTGTAGACCAGGCTGGCCTCAGACTCACAGAGATCCACCTGCCTCTGCCTCCCGAGTGCTGGGATTAAAGGTGTGCGCCACCACCGCCCGGCTATAATTGACTCTTCTAAAAGAGTATATTTAATTTACCCCAATCCCAGTTTGCTTACGGATTACACAAAAGTGTTCTTCACAAGAGACTCCTGACTCTTCCTGTCAGGTTTCTACTGCATCTAAGCCTTTTTCTCTATAAACTGTGTTTCCATCTTTTCTCCTCTGAATAGTCAGAGAGGTTTCTTAGCTTGCTCTTTGGTTCTAATCTCTGTCCTTTGCAGAGTGTTCTCTGAAGAGCTCCCAGAGAGCTGTTTAAATAAACATGAGGTCGTGTCTTTTCCCTTTGAAAATATTTCCATGTTCCCTTTTCCATATCCTACAAGACACAGCCCACATGATCTGACTTTTGCTTATTTCTTCAGCTTATTGGATACTATGCCCCTGTCCTCGGCTCCCTTTATTTCCCCCAAATGAAGTCCTTTCTAGGAATGGTCGCAGCCTGTAAACCTTCACAACAGCTGTCACACTGTGCTGCTCACGTGCTGGGTGTCATCCAAGACACGGGTGATGTTTGGAGGTAAGAGCTCATCAGTTCTTCTGGAAAAAATGTACATCTTTAAAACTGACTAAATTCACTGGGGAGAGGGGTGGAAATCTCCTAGGTTACAATGTATGTAAATTATGAAGTGTAGTTACAATGCGATGTGACTGGAGCCTCAACAATGTAGCGAAAGAGCCACAGCTGGATGAAAAGGTCTCCCCCATTGTTCTCCCTAGAAGGATGCATAATTATAAATACAATGTTTATCATGTCTTCACAAAACAATTTTTCTCATGTCTTAGACCTGAACAAATCTATTTCTTCTTGGGATTATCTCCTGAAATCTTTTCTGGTTATGTTTTTAGGGCTTATGCCCACTACCATAACCAAATTTACTCATTGTTTATTTGGTAAAATATTCTTTAATCCAAGCAGTAGAATTGACACTTTCCTGCTGACAAACAATTGAATCGGTTCAGTTTTCTGGTAAATGTCACGTGACTTTGAATGGCACTAAAAGTTTAGTTTAGTGATTTTAGAGACTTGCTTCAGAGTGTACTTGCTCAGCTGCACCGCGTGACTTGTTACCACAGTGGTTGTGCCCTGTGTTCCTACAGGCACAGAAAGAGTGTTGTGTGCGAAACAAGTAGCTCGTGTGTCCCAGAACTCTGTACTCAGCCTATAGATGAAAACTGGGATTGTGCCCATTTCCTTGATTGCTACAAAGGATGTCATGCTTATTTCCTGATTTACCCTCTCAATGCTGCTTGTGTTTTGCTAATTTAAAAATCTATGTGCCTTTGTGACTGATTGGTAAGAGCACAGATCCCCGGTCCTCGTCCATTGCTCCACACACTGCAGCTTTCCTTTCGCCATGTTCGGTGACATATCGTAGTCTGACCCACTCACCACGCCCATGAGGTTAAAAGCTTCTTGAGGCCTATATTTATCTTTGTTTCTCCAGCACCAAGAAGTGCTTAGCATGTAGTGTGTGCACCATTGCTCAGTGAGTGCTTGCTGGGCAAACTTTAACAACTTTAAACATTTTATTGTATTTATTGTACTTATTTATCGATTTATATATGTACATGTATGACCATATGTGTACCCTAAACCATGAATGGAGGTCAAAGGACAACTTATAGAAATTGGCTCTCTCTCTACTCTGTGGGTTCTGGGGATCAAAATCAGGTAGTCAGGCTTGAAGGCAAACACCTTTACATCTCGAGGCATCTCATTGATTCTGCTATGACTTTAGATGTGGCAATTCAACCTTTTTATGATAAATATAATTTTATGGATGGTGGTTATATGTACTGCTGAAGCCAAGGCGAACTGAAGTGTATGCAACAATCCTTCTGTACTTGCACTTCAAAGTGTGTCCTAAGGTACTCTTACAGACGGTGAATCTGCAGGCTATTTACACGCAGCCATTGCTAATTGAGCACACGCTATGCTTACTTCCATTCTTTTCAACGCATTGACAGTTCACCAGAAGCCCGAGTGGCAGAATATTTAGCTTGAATTTAGCATGAAGTTAGAAATGATGTTAAGACACAAGATATGGACTACATATTATGATGAATGCGTGAGGTTCATGGTTTGTGTCAACTTGACATTGATTACCTTTTTAGCAATGGTGTCCGGAGGTACATCCCGCCTCCCAAGTGGGTAAGGATTCCACTGGCCACTAGGAGAGACATCTTCTTGTCCATTGTCTAAAATGTTGCTTTGCTGGGACGGGGTCTATTGCGAAAATGGTATGGCATTCTTTAGTGATGTTTACGATAGTTTTCTGAAAAGAGTCCCTAACAATTATGGTAAAATTAATTTTGTTTGATTATAGAAAACATATATCCTAACTGGAAACACTATTATATTCTATTTACCGAGTAAGAATTCTAAACTGACAGCTATTTTGGAAACAACGAGAAATACAATTAAAATAACCATTTCAGAGTTATTTACTGAATTTTAAAGTTTAGATTCTCTACAGTACCTGAATAGAGATAATCGGAATAAAATTAATCAGTGTTTTAAAAATACCCACAACATTTTAAAACTTGCTTAGCTTGTCTCTTTAGTATGTGCTTACCATTTAGACTATAAACTGAAACCATGCAATCCATAGATTGGAATGTGCAACATTCCAAGCCAAAGCCTAACAAGAATTTTTGAGACTTTGATGTGAATTTTTTAACGATGTATTTTCCACTAATCCTCTGCAGAATACGCACTGGCAGATGAAGATGGTTGGCATTGTGCATTATCAACAGACAGCTGCTAGAGCCACAGTCAAGGAAGCCATGACTGCTTTGGTTACTAAATTCAGTTATTTATGTATCATTTATATATTAAATTTAAATCCTTCATAAGTTTAAAAATATTAAAAATATTCTTGCTTGTGGTTTTTTTTAGCAAATAGGATATCCCATCTTTATTAATATTGATGTTAGATATTTTAAGATGACCCAGACTCTAGCTAGATTAACATTAAGCAGTCATATACATAGGAAAGGAAGAACCTGTACCTTCTACTGGAGAGGTAACTGGTGGTATAGACAGAGTGGGGTGTGTGTACAAAGTCCTGTTCTCTTCTAACCTTCAGCATGCATGAGTTTTGTATGTTCTATTGGGAATCCCTGTGTGAATCAGAAACTGCCCATGTCAGGCTTGCCGACATTCTGAAGATTCCCTGGTAGCAGAGCCTGGTTAGACAGGTTGTGTTTGCTGGTACCCTGTGTGAGGTGAGTCCTGCAGCCTTTTCTTGATGAGCTGGGCTATTGATTTCAAATGCGTCACAGGCAGCCGCTTGCCAGGCCTCACCTGGCTACACTGAGTAGTCCTACTATGGTCTTTTAAAAAAGCAACTCAGTAACCACCTTGTCTGTATTCTGACCACATACACATTTTTAAAGAACTGCCAGGAAATATAGTAAAATTGGGTTTAAGGTAAAACTATCTCTCAATGTGTGTAATAGGGTTAGTATCTTATTGTGTGTAATAGAGTTCACAGTGACACTGTCTCACAACCCCTCTAAGGGACACAATGAAAAGTACACAGCTCAAATTTCACCTTTTGATTTGACTGTGTAAATTCTGTTTCTACAAGTCCATCAGAAATGAAAAAGAAGGAAAAAAGAGAGTTTTGAATGCGAACTCTCATACTGAGCGAATATGTGTTTTAAAAAATCAAATGAAGAGAAACACACATGAAAAACATGCTGCTTGGAAGTAGTGAGATGTGTTTCGCCTGGATTTCTAGGTCTTTACTATTTCTAGACTAGTATTTTTACATGTGTCCACACCCAACCTTTCTAGATAATAAAATATGGCAAACAAGAATATAAAGATTAAGTAGACAGAAGGAAATCATGCACTCAGGAACCACTGGGGAGTATTTTCTTTATGGATTTTCAGTATCCAAGTCTCTCACTTGGGTCCTCTGCCCTGAGGGTACAACACAACCTGCCCTCTGGCTGTCTCTGTGCAAGACACATTCTTGTGAGGTAGACATAATTCAGCACAGGTTTTCTTTTTCTGTTCAGGTCACTCTCCTCTTTATACAATTTTTTTTTCTTGTGCATTTTCTTACCTGCCCAGAAATGAGTAGCCCTATTTTGAATAGTCACTGAGAGCTATTCCAAATGGCACAGTTCTTTATGGCCCACAACAAAGGTGTAGCTCCATTCTATTAAAACCCCAACATTGTGACCCTGGGTTCTTCACAAATGTATAAGTAATTTGTCTCTTTTTAAAAATTAGAATTATCTGCCACACTAATTCCCTCATATACAGGGGACACAGAAGCAGAAACACGCAGGATCATTAAAGAGATTCTTTTTCACTACATAGTAAAATTAATGTACTTCCTGAAAGTAATTTCCCTTCTTAATTTCAAGAATGAGCTATGATTTGATTTTCCTAGGTGAGGCACTAGAGCCTGGAGAAACAGGGAAATCATGGAAACACTTATTGATGCTGGGTGGTGGTGGGGGCCTGAAAACTGAGATATTTAGTGTGCTCACACTGTTTCTCAATGTAGGATATATGCTGTAAGTAAATTTGTCCTCTGGTTGTTAAAATTCTCCAGAAGATAAAAAGGAACAACTGGAAAGCATGATATAAATGGAAGCCCTTGCTACAATGTTTTATTTCTAAGAAAACAAGCTAAACTAGGTGCTCACATCAGTCAGTGCTCTAGAGGTTAGGATGGCTTCTGATGTTCCTCATCTCATATACCAGCCAAGGAAGCACACAGCGCACAGGACATTGGCAGCTGGAGTCTCAGGTTTTTATTATTAGAGCAGCAGAGGAAATGGCCAGTGTGAGTTAGTAGAAAAGCAAAGATTTTGATAAGGGCTATAGCTTAAGAAAACCTGGCTCCAAAATCTGCTGTGGCTATTGGTAAACTTAGTGTTGATGATTCTCAGAACTAGGAATGGTGATAAGCGTCAAGCGAAAGAAGCAATTTCTAATCTGGCTGGGACTTCACTATGCATCCCTCTCCATATGTCTGAGTATATTTGCATGTACGTGAATGTGTCCACATGGATGTATATTTGTCTTAGTCTATATATGAGTAGTATTAACATGAACAAATGGGGGTAGCTGAGCCAGTGGCCTTGATCATCTGCTAGATGAAGGTGTACAGTATGCTTGTGAAATTATATGTAATGCCACCTTGCTGAAGAAAATATATGAGCGGTACTGGAATTTGATACCTTGCCAAGTTCTTGTGGCATCTTTGATGAATGCAAGGATCTGTTTTGTGAGGTAATTGGCACATGGCTTGCAAAGGCAATTTTCATAGATTTAAGAAAATGTTAAAGATAATTTGTTCAAGCAGCATGGTGGCATATGTCTATAATTTCAGCAATGAGGAGGGAGGTTGAAGCTAGGGGTTCAAAAATTTGAGACCAGCATAGGCTACGTACTGAGACCTTGTACAAAACAAAACAAAACAAAACAAAGCGCCAAAACTGGAGCAAACATACAGGTCAGTAAATAAAAAATCAACAACAAAACCAGGAAACGCTAGAAAAACAATCTGCCCAAAGTATTTTTTAGTGAAATTATTGGTGCACTAGTGTTTCAGAAGACCTTTTGAGAAGAGATACCTATGACAGAGGCAAATACACGGTGTGAAAATGTTATGGCTACGATTTTTAAAGACTGTGTTAGCCATAACAGAGATGAGACATGATCCGCGCTGATACATTGTTTCCTCATTTTAGCCTCTGTCTGTGAGGATTGTGTGCATTGGCAGGCTGGTGGCTTTTTTTTTTTCATAATTAGAATGGTGGATAGCTCTTTCTGGAGGGCTAAAGAGTCAGTAATAAATATAGCAGAATCGATAGGAATTGCAGGCACAAGTTAGCCTGGGGTACAGCATAGATTTTGCTTTTATTTCAGCAGGAAAAACTAGCATTGAATAAGCGTCTCTTGACTTTAGGGTAAATAGGGGCACAGCAATGATGGTGCCATCTGATCTTGGTCATCTGCATAGGTCCAGTGGAAAAGGACACCTAGAAGTTCAAAAAGAGTCAAGGCAAACATTGCCGTCTAAATTTCCCTAACCCAGGAGTTTCTTAGACATGAGTCAACTGATTTAATAACTAATGAGACAGGCAGTGAGGACAGTTTCTCCCAGGTAACTTTAAATAAACAATTATTTTATATATGTCATTATATATGACTTAGGGCTTCCATCTCTGAAATTATAATTTATATTACTGTTCAATTCTATAAACAACAAGCAAGATTCTATGGTGTAAAATTACAGTAATAAACACTAAAAGAAGAGGCAGCCAATACCCGTCTATCTCTATGGAACCTGCCGTACTTCTATTGGGAGCCATGACCTGGGCATGATTGAGTGGTCAGGAAGGACAGGTGGATCTAAGAAGGCACAGAGCCATCACTGGCTTTCTCTTAGTCCCGATAACCTGAGTCATTTGTCTCTACATCATGACGTGGTCATGTGCTCTTGGGTCAGTGAAGATACACCATTTCTTTCTTTCTTAAAAATTTCCCACATTATCAAATATTAAGGTTATTTGGATAATAATGTGAACGAAGGAATTGTATCTACTACTGTGAGTCATGTGTGAAAATGTCAGGTGTTACAAATGGTGAAAGGCTTCACCGAATGCAGAGAGGGCTTACTCCGGGTACCACGGCCATGACAGTAAAGCCAAAGCTCACGATACATCAGTGTGGGTTGTGAGCCTCACACTCCTGTCTCTCTCATTCACCTTCTAAATATGTCCGCTTAGGTTTGTGAGTTTCAAGAAAAAACATCCTTCAGGCACCTTGCGGTACTAGCCAGAGTGGGTTTTCAGTATTTCTCAATCTTTGTTTTCTCCCAATAGAAATATTTATCATTGTATCATTAATCTAGGTGATAAAAATAGCAGTTTGAACCGACATTCTCCTATAATGTTGTCCTCTTCCTGGTAACATACCATCTCAAGACAATAGCTGAGCTCATTACAATAGAACACATCCAGAAAAAGCACATAAACCATTTAAAACATCATAGAAAGTTGATTTGATTGCTTTTTGGAAAGGCAGCAAATAAATGATAAATGAATGAATGAGTGAATAAATGAATGAATAAATAAATAAATAGGAAATATTGGTATCCTATAATTTAAGCCTAACTTGTATGTCTGGCATGCTAGTTCATAAATGCTGTTAGATTTTCAAGTTTAGCAAAAGGTCAACATATTAATGAATAATCTTAACTTTTTATATTAATTTTGTTGTATTTGGTGGAATTTTAAAAGTATCTTAAAGACGTTCATGAAATTATCATATAAAATATCATTTCCCATATACAGAAAAGAACGACTATAGTTATTTTTTAATCCATGAAAAATGTACGCTTGATCTGGCATGCAATAAACATGGGTGAGTTAAAAATATTCCAAATACACAGTAAGATCAGCATGTCTTCTCCCTCAGTGACCTTAACTGCATACTGTGTGAGCACTTCCAGGTGCCAGGGCTGTTTATTACCATCAGCTGTAGCCTTTAATTAGCTTATTATAGATTTGCTTAAGAACAATGTCAGTGCTTGGGAGGGAATAAGAGTGTTCCTCCTTCCTGGTGCTAGTGGCGTCTGAGAAGAAGGCTGCAAGTTGTGATTCAGCCCAAGCACCCCCTGGGAAGGGCACCATTCCCACAGAGGTGTGCTGCACAGTTCTTTATATTCCCTGGGAAGCTTCATGCTCTCCATCTAGATGCCTGGGAGCTAATTTTGTGCATGTGTATGGAACCAAGAGGGCAGAGGAAGCAGGAAGAGAGGATAATAACAGGAGACGTGGAAGCAGAGGGGACTTTTCTGGGGAGAAGGAGGACAGTGGGGAAGGGAGTCTAGATGAAAGGGCCATAGCAGCAACCATTCCTTTGTATGCTAATCAAAAATATGCAAATAAAGGTTAGTTTTATAGTTTGGCAGAAAGCCTCCCCCATGAGTTCTACAGAGAAGATGAATCTGGCAGAGGGCATGAGAGCTCAGGGTGGAACCAATGGGGTGTAGCACGGGCTGAACCGCCACAGCCACAGCTTTGGCTGTGCTTCGAATGCTTATAAATTAATATTTTGAACTCGTTACATACCAGGGAGAATAGTTTATGCTTTTCATAGACCTTAAGCTTCCAATCTTAGAAATGTTTTTTCATCCCCCTTTTCTTCCTCCTTTCCTCCTCTTCCTCCTTCTTCATGCAGGAGATAATACATTGGTAGTAATTGACTTTGAAGTCTTTCAGTGTCTAAATAGTTGGTTTTCAATTTATTGTGCTTCCAAGAGGGACTTCCTTTCCAAAGGGATTTCCTGTAAGTCCTGTGTTTGCCCAAGGAAGGATGGTCCTGAGGCCCTCGAATACAGCTCTGCATTTTGGCTGTTATGTGGTATTGTGACTGTGAGAGGTAATTAATCTATTCTCTCGGGCTGCTGCACCACTAGAAACACAGTCGTAAGGGCACTGCTCTTGTTCAGTTACTGCATGAATCCAGATCACTGCATAGATCAAAGAGTAATTAGGCCCCAACTTAGTCAAAATAGGGTTGTTGTCATTAGATATTTTCAGAGGGTTCTAGAGATAGCTTTCTTCATACCAAGATTCATTTAATTAATTATTATTATTTTTTTTGTTTTTCTTTGTTTTCTGAGACAGGGTTTCCCTGTGAATCCCTGGTTGTCCTGGAACTCACTCTGTAGTCCTGGCTGGCTTTGAACTCAGATATTCACCTGCTTCTGAATCTTAAGTGGCGTCATTAACAGTGTACATCACCACCCCCAGCAGGGTTCTTTGACCTGCTCATAATTTTTATTTTTGAAATCTTCTAATTTTAGTTTCAAAGTCTGGTTTGCATTACTTCCCAAGTTCTCTTGCAGAGGCCCATCTATCCCTGAGTGTGGATGGGATAAGAAAGTTCGTTTGGGATGGAAGGAGGATGAGGGCTTTGAACTTCTAGGAGGACACAAAGAACAGGTTGTCTTGAAGAGGGTTTCAAGAAGACGGTTGTGCTTATGGCATGCACAGGTCTAACTTGTGCTGACTTAAATAAATTAACTGCTCACAACCCTAATTCTAAGTTTAGAGACTGTGAGCTGGGCCATGAACATGGACACAATGAGAGTTATTGCTGACATCAGGAAATACCAGCAGAGAAAGTTATCATGCACCACTGGCCCCTGGGAGACTAAGAACAAATAAGATAATATTTAAATGTTCCCAACTTAGTTAGGCTTTAGTTGCTCCGTGTGTGTGTGTGTGTGTGTGTGTGTGTGTGTGTGAGTGAGAGAGAGAGAGAGAGAGAGAGAGAGAGAGAGAGAGAGAGAGAGAGAATCTGTGGACATAAAAATCTCTAGCTCTGTGTGCTACCCATAGCCTGAATTAAATTATATAGGGTTAGGTATAGAGATAAGAAATGCTAACAGGCAGCAACTGTGAAGCATTACAGCATGGGAATTTGTCTTACATTTAATTTTATTCAGAAAGAAGAAATGTTGAGGGTTGCTGTCATTTTCTTTTCCTATTTTGTGCTTCTTTATCCACAAAGCCTTATGAGGCTAATGACTACATTAACATCCAGTCATAACGCCATTGTATGAAGATGACTCATTAGTCTCCACTGAGATGTAAGCAAGGAAAAGCATTAATCAGTTTAAGCAGGTAAGATGGGCATTCCCCATGCTGACTGAGCAAGACAAATGTTTCGTTAACAGTGGGAACTCTTCTTCTCTTTATTATACAGTATTAGTTCCTTGCTAATATGCCTACAATTTTGTTTAAAATATGTGAACTTGTGGCTTTTCTATAACCCAAGAAAAGCAAATTGTCAGATAAGATGCAAACTTACAGCTCTCCCTGCTGTCTTCTGTCCCCACATGGGAAGTGGAACAAGAAAGCATTTACAGGGCTAAACATTTAACTTCCATGCTTACTCTGGATATTATGCCTTCTAAGGGACCCACCCAAATCTCAAAACAGTTTTCAGCAGTGTTCTCAGAATGTTTTACCAAGGGAGGGGTGGTGTCCAAAAAAAGTAAATAACAAATGTGTAAACACAACAGAAAGAAAAACATGGAAGAATAGAAAAAATAAGTAGAAAGATGATCCTTAAATCCACCTCAAAAGTCATGTACCTGCTCAGTCCAAAAAGCAAGAGTCTGGTCATCCGTCTAGCTACAATAAACACTGAGCAGCTACAGATTCAGGCTCTACATCATCTTCCCTGGTGCGTTCGGACTACAGGGAGTCCGTAACAAGCAGGGCTAGATGCACAGTCTAAATACACCAAGTGAACAGACAGCAAGTGACTTTGGGATGCTGGCACATGTAGGGCGGTCCATACTTACTTTCTGAAGAGGTGGGTCTTGAAGGTCAAATTTAGACTTAGTCTGCAAGTTTAAAGTCATGCTTCTGCCTGCATGCATTGCTGAAATACCTCCATAGGGCAGCATGCCAAGGTTAACTGTGTTGTGTTTGTAAGCAGCGCTCTGAGTAGAGGAGATAACCATGTGACAGGATGTAAACACGGGCTCCACAAACAGATCATTACATGAACACGTCTAAATTCATCACATTGAACTGTAAGCGGGCAAACGGTAACTTTCTTATAAACATGCGCTCCGTCAGACAAAAGCATACAGTAACAGTGTTAGTTGTGCACATAAATGAGTACCCTCCAGAGCTACAGAAAGGACAAGAGCAGAGATACATTGTCTATGCCTGCTCTCATGAAAAGGCTAAATCTCTGTATCTGTCTCTTAGACGGCCTGGTGATCCTGGCTTGAGATGAGCATCAATCAGTTTGTTAGTTTTGCAAATTGAAACAGTGGGATTTTAATCAGATTCCATAAGCTATAAATCTCATTGTCTCACATTATGAGATCTGCACATATGAAGGACAGGTGTTAACTTCTAACTCTGCCTGAGCTAATGTGTGGTAACCTTAAGGACAGGTATACTCTGAAGATGGTTAATGCTATTATTTTTAGTATGCATAAAATATCTGACAGCACTCTAGTGATATTTATATTGTGAATATCCTTTGCCAAGAACTAGTAATTCTTTATAGGGCTTCATTAAAATATTAAATATTTAAAAATGACCCAACATCAAATTTTCAATCTACCATGGAAACACAATCATTGGCAGTGCTTGCTTCTGTAAGTAATTCTCTTATTTAGTGCAGGAGACTTCGAAGAACAAATGGCTGGATATCATTTTTTGCTCTGAAAGCACTGTTTCCAAAGTAATGATTTTTATCACTAGCATTTTGTGAGCTATGGAGAGAGATCACTGGTGATACACTTGTCTGCCAATTCTATTTGTTAAGAGCTAGGGACTAGTTCATTGCCCCCATGTCAAAAGTGGAAAAGACTCTTAACCTTTCCTTCCTTCTGGTTCAGAGGTAACTCCTTGATGCCCCATAGAGGACCAGCCATCTCAGAAATGTGGGCTCGAGTTTTAAATTCTTGGGCACAGTGGAGCCCTATCATAGTAGCATTTGTGATTAAAATAAGGGAGAAAACATATCCCTTTTTCTAGTGTAGTATTTGGAGCTGTCTCTACAAGGCCAGCACTGAGATCATTTGCCAGCTCCACGTTGGACTGTTAAACCTATAATGTGAACAGAACTGTAGGTACTTGACTTTTATGTAAAATCACAAATATCTCATAGCTGCTGGTAACACTGTTTGCTCAGAGTTGAACAGCTTAACTGAGTTTTGGAGGAAAGCACCCCAATCTCTGGTGCCATCTGATGATGGGCAGAGTGTTAATAGAATAGCTCTGACAAAACTATCTGACATTGTAATATGTGGTCTGGAAGTATGAATTCATCTGGGAGGATGGCTGGAAGATTTCACAGGACATGTATCTTGAGTGATCGCTGAGAAACTCAGCTAAGTGGGGAAGGAAACATCACTTGGAGTAAACTAGAAGAAAGCTCCTAGGAAACCGTGGCTTGGGGTAGTAGTCTAAAGTAACTCAACTGAGAAACTATTCAATATGCATTAAAATTGCTCTGAAAAGTTAGTGTTAGAACCGGGGAATTACAAACAAACAGAGCTCAGTGGAAAAGGGAAGTGTCATCACAACAATTAAAAAATACAGTTAAATTCACCTTAGACATCTGGGTTAGGCAGGGCCTTCAGACTTATTCATCCGAACCCTTCCCCAGTCCTGTACGCTCTGCCACTAGGAGTCACCTACTTCTTGTCTTGTTCAAAGTGGGGGGGAGCACATCTCCACCTTGTCTTTCTGTATCCATGCTTTGTTTCTATCCACCATTCTGTCTCGAATCACTAGTCATTGCAATACATTTCCTACACCTGTGTGGAACCGTCCTTAGCTAGTTCACATTGCCTTGTTAGATACGGTTGTTGTCAGCATGCAATGAGAGTTCCCAACTGTTTTGTATTATTTAACCTTAAGTATTTTCACCCTTCAAAGCTACCTTCTACATATAGGATATAACTCAAGGTGAGGCACGTGCCACTTAATCAGGTGTCTCCTGCTGATGCCAGCCATGAAACTCTGATAAAGTTTCCTTCAATGGGATGGGTTGCACCAATTTGAAACATTTTGATTTGCAAGACAGAGACAATTTTCATGCTGAGAAATTAACGTCCACAGCCACATTTGTTAATTCATTCTCTCCCTAGGAAAACTGTTTCCTTGTCACGTAGATACAACCTACAAATTGTTATTTTTAAAAGGATAAACCTGAACACTCAAATTTAATGTTGAAGAAATACATAATATAGTGACCTTGCTTTTATAAAAGCAGAGTCCCAAATAACACTGAACTCATCGAACAAAACATCCTGACGACATAATCTCACTCAGAACACCTAACTTGAAGACACGAGAGGGAAAGGCCCCATGTTTGCAAGGCAATCTTTAATTCTGAGGTAAGTCTGGGGCACACACAGTCTTTTTAACTAGAGCCACAGGGTCCAGCAAATGATGATGCCTCTGGGCAAAGGCTCTAGAAAATGAAATATTTGTTTTCTCTTAGAGAGATTCAAACAGACAAGGGGAACTGATTCTATGCTTTGAACTGTTTTTTTTTTTTTTTGATTTTAACTCTCCAATGGTTGCTAACTCCACACAGTATTATGACTCAATTTTTAACTGATTTAGGATTAATTTGGGATTTATTTCCTTGTTTTGCTACATTGTACACACTAATTTGTTACATTTGTAGTCTTCCTTGAGACACCATCTGCATTTGCTGTTTATAGCTTGACTTGAATTGTAGAATTTCTTTCTACATAAAAGCCAATATTCTAAATGTCAAGATTTTTTTAATCAATTAAAGTAGTGTGTAGGAGGGCATTTAATCTCTGCTTATTTTATTTTTCTGTTCCTTGCTGGGAAGATTATTGCTCATTAAAGGTAATAACTTCAGTTGTTCCTTAGCTGTGCACAAATTTTATAAACAAATTAAGCCCGAGTTTAATATAAGTGAGTCCATGTGGAAAGGGTGAAATACTCACTTTTTATAGACTCAATAAAAATAACACTCTTTAGGTCACCAGGGAACAGTTTTGTGTCCTGGGAGAGGCGGCCTTGCTTTCATGGCTAGAAAGACACTGGAGCACCATCCCAGATAATGGAGTCAAATTCTTCCTTACCATATTTAGGCTAGCTTTGATAGGTAATTCACCTGCTGGTTACGACTTCTCAGCGTATAAGCATTAAGCAATACCTACAATAAACTATTGCAATCCATCTCCCCCGCTTAATATAAACAAAATCCTGGGAGAATCATTCCTGTAACTCATGCACCGCCACATGTGCTTAGAGACGCCAGGAAAGGAAAACCCAAGGCAGAAGGGGAATTCTTACAGAGAAAGGCCAGACATACCCTGTCTAACCTTCTAGCTTCTATATGTCTAAGCAGCTGCTGTCTCCAGTCTGCCGGCATTTTGCCACAGCTCTCCTCTCCCTTCACAGGGGTGGGCCTTGTCTTTATATCACTGTTATCTGACGGCTTGTCACCATAGTTACCCAGGTTATAGTCAGATGGTATTTTTTCCAGGAGGGCTGCCATGGTAGGCCTAGCTGAAACCGGCCTGGTTTGGGAGGCTCCGTAACTCTCTGTGCTGTAGCTCCTGGCGGACAGAGGCCTCCTCTGGGTAAGGTTTTTAGCGGGGAAACTTCCCGCCTGCGTTTTCACTTCTTGATATGAAGGGTGTTCATCTTCGTACCTGCCATTCCTCTTGAGGAATTGGGGATCAGTCATTGAAACACTGCTCTGGCCTTCCAGCCCTCCCCTATAGGCTGCTCGGCCATACCTGTCACCAGGGGGCAGCTCATGGGGCTCGCTGACTCTTCTGAACATGGCCATTTCAGTGGAGCTGGCCAGGGAGTCAGCCCTCCTTAGGAAGCCTGCCCTGGGCCCCTGGCTGGCAAACTGAGCATTCACTATGGCATCCTCATTCACAGACGGCTGGGAAAAGGAGAACATCTGTTCCATGGGTGGGTACCCTCTATAGGCTCTGGGGCTGACCAGATCCTTGGCGATGTTTTTGCTGGGCTGCTGCACATACTCAGAATTGTGTGCAAAAGGGGGCGGAATCCTCTTCTCTGCTTTAACTTCCACTGCTCCTTGCGGATTGAAGCTTTGGTCAAACTGATAGACCTTCTTCGTCATAGATGCTTTTTGTTGGGGTGGCCCTTTACTACTTCCATACATGAGCATCTCGTCGTCCAGCATGGGTACCGACTGGCTCCTGGACATACTGGACATGCCGTGCTCTGGTCCCAACAACTTGTCTGGCCGCTCGTGGCTTCCTAAGTGATCACTCCCAGAGGCATAGTTTTCTAGCGGAATGTTATAAACCTTGTAGGTTCCAATGTCAATCTCATCAATACTCTGAGACTTTTTGAATTTGTTGGACTTTATATCTTTCATGAGTGGGGAGAGCCTCTCCGTGCTTTTGCTCATCGCAATAACACCTTTTGATGAATCTGGGCGGCAGTGGATTTGAGAAAAGACATTACCGAGACTCCTGTTGGGCGTGGGGTCATGGTACTCCCACGGCACTCCTGGAGAAAAGGGACTTGGTGTCTCTGTAGGCTCCTTCATGTGATCTTTTCTTTCAGGTAAGGGGCTGGTAGTAGGGGTTGTTTCTAATTTGGAAGGAAAAGCAGTCCTGTCTTCAAATGGACTGGGAGTTCTGGTCCAGTTCTGCCAGGGGTTGGAAGGAGGCACTTCTGTTTCTGGCGTGTGTCGGTGTATGGACTGTTCCAGTTCCAGGGGAACGCCGACAATCCTTTCCTGCCTGATTAAAGGCCTGCGCCCGTGAGCAGGCATGCTTCTAGCCTTGGCGCTTAAGAGAGGGTTATTGTTGGCGTTCTCGGCGGCAGCTTCCTCTGAGACAAAACCTGTGTTGTCGTAATGGGAGCCATCGGTCCAGTTGTCAGGGAAGGCATCACTCATTGGCAGCCTGTCAGGACGCTGGGGGAGATTCCCTGGAGGAACAGCCTCCCGTTGGCTGAGTAATGGCTTTGCATCCAGAGGCTGTGGGAAAGGTGGTGCAATCCTGTGAACACAAACAGAAGGAGAAAAATGACTGAGAGGAAGAGGTGACCTTCCTGGAGGAAGAATGCCACCAGCCTTTGTGTAGCTCATTTATTCCCACCTGGTTTACGGGTAAAGCACTATTCCAAAAACCCACTTTAACTTGCTCTGACTTTCACGTCTTCTGAGTAACCATGGCTTTCTAGCACACTAGGGAGCTGACTGCCTAACGTATTCATTGTTTACCACCTTAGGTCCTTCCATAGAAGGCAAGCATGGAGAGAGACCAGGATACTTATTGACTAAATTGGTGAATGAATGAGGTAAGTGCACTTTCAGTCATGGTCCTGAAGATGGGCTGGCAAGGGGATTTCCACTACTCATCCCTGGGATTCTGACTCAGAGCACTTCCAAGTTTCCAGTTGAGAGAACTTAACACATCCCAAAGAGGAGGGGGCAGGGACCTCAGACTCAGCAGACATGCTGCTGCCTACTGAATGAATGGATGGCGCTCTGGACATCCCCAGCTTTCCCTGTCTCTTTCTGACTCTCTCTGGCATTCTCTCCGACCCTCTCTAGATGTCTTTGGCTCTCTCTGACCTTCTGTGACCTTCTCTGACCCTCTCTGATCCTCTCTGACCCTCTCTGGCCCTTTTGGGTTCTTTCTGGATCTCTCTGACCTTCTCTAACCCTCTCTGACCCTCCCTGTCTCTCTCTGATCCTCTGTGACCCTCTCTGAGCCTCTCTGGCTCTCCTTGGCTCTCTCTGATCCTCTCTGACATTCTCTAACCCTCTCTGACTCTCTCTGTCTCTCTTTGACCTTCTCTGATGTTCACTAACCCTCCTTGACTCTTTCTCATTCTCTCTGGCCTTCTCTGACCCTTTCTCACTTTCTCTTACTCTCCCTTGCTTTCTTTGGAGTTCTATTTTTATTTTATGTGTAAAACATGTATATATATATGTATATATATAATGTGTTTTGCTTGCACATATGTCTGTGTACCATGTGAGTGTCTGGTACCTACAGAAGCCAAAAGAAGGCATCAGATCTCCTAAAACTGGAGTTACAGATAGTTGTGAGCCATCATGTTAATGGGAGCTGGGCATCAAACCCAGGTCTTCTGGAAAGGTAGCCAGTGTTCTTAATTTTTGAGCAGTCTCTCCAGTACAGACATTTTAATCTATCACACCAATTTTGCTTTTTGTGTTAGTGGGGATCAAATCCAGGGCCTCGAGCACTTAGCTCCCCCACGGATCTACTTCCACCCAGCCTTTTATACACCATTTTGGATCTGGAATGCCCACATGCTTACCTGCGTCTTTTGTCTTCTGTGCCACTCACGTGACAAACACAATTCCAACATTAAGCAGATTCCACTTTGTCAAAGTTGATGAAAATGAGCATTTGGGAACATAGAAGGGGGAATTCTCAACACACCTGTTACCCCACAAAGAGTTATGGACGGCATCTTTAGCGGTTGGCTGCAAGGACCCCACTTTCACGCGGGTGTTTGAGGACCCCGAGGAAGCCTGGGAGGGCGAGTAGTCTGAGTAGGTGCCTGAGGAGACACTGTTATTCAGACAGTGAGTTTTGTCAACTTCAGACTCATCAGTTGATTCTGAAATTCAAAGGGGAAACGTATTACAACGCTACGAACACGGATGGATACAAAAGAAGCATGAAAAGCAGATTCCACATGGATTAATGTCAGAAGCACACATCTGCGGGTACTTTATAGACTACAGCATGTCATAATGTATAAGTGGTGATTGATCATGCACATGCATCGGTCACAGTTCCACATCGGCTTCACGATGTTACCTTTTTTGTCCTTCCCTAGCAGAACAAGTTTGGGTGGGTACAGAGGGGTCTCAGCTAATGAAGGGTGAAGTTCCCCAATCCTCATTTCATTAGCTGGATGAACAAAAGAATCCTGAGAGATATAATAATACAGGACAAGGAAAGTAAACATTTAAAGAACGGTTAACCAAGATGGCAATATCTTATCTGGCTCAGACTCAAAGATGCAGCCCTCGAGTTTGATTCACCCATAGGGCATTGTGAAAGGAACCCTGCGCATCTCTAATTGAGCGCTAATTGTTTTTCTAATTTATGTGGACTCATTTATTCATTGAATGTATTTTTGGATGCTATTTGTATGCCTGGCACTGTGCAAAGAACTGTGGAGGTTCCCCCAGAAAGACACAACATGGTCTTCTGGGAATTCCCAATTTAATTGAGATGAAACAGTGCTTACTTCAGCGCAACACTGAATTATGCTACACCCTCCACAGGCAGTATGGCTCACAGTCAGATACGCTTGGATACGTATTCTAGAGGCCAAACTCTTGAGAGTTCCAAGTGCGAAGGCCATTGCAAGCCAGTGGGATTTTGGTCCCACCCCTACACATATTATCTCACTGGTGGCCCAGTAATCCTGCATCCCGCCCCTGCTCTCCAGTCCTTGCTGCATCCCAGGTGGCTGTGTTTTCAGCCACTGTGGGTCTGCTGTGCTTCCTTCCTGAGGTTGTTACTGTTCTCCTGCCCATTCCAACCTACTTAATCTACTGTATGTCCAATGCTGAGTGAATTATCAGCAGCGGTATAAGAATACAACTCCATGAAGAATAAAAAATACAAAAGTCCTACAAGTTTTAAAATTTATTTCCCCTCTCTCTCTTAGAATTGTTTAATTTTATGTGTTAGTGTGTTGCCTGCATGCATGGAAATGCATGACTTGCGTGCAGTACCGGTGGGTACCAGAAGAGAGCATTAGATTTCCTAGAGCTGGAGTTAACATTATGTGTGTGTTAGGAAATGAACCTGGGTCCTCTGCAGAAGCAACCAGAGTTTTCAACCACTGAGCCATCTCACCAGTGTAAAAATTCCACGAATGTTTAATACTTGACTGAAATTTTATCTTTTGAACTTATTTTGGGGTGTATGAGACTATTTGCTTCTCGATGACTTTTTGCTTCAGTTGATGAAGACTGAATGACCATTGAGTTAAACACTTTCACTGACCCGGGGCTCACAAAATCACTTAACAAAGACCCAGCATTGGAGTATGGTTCTCTCGAGTTCCCACTGAGCTAGTCCTTCCTCCAGTGTGAGGCTCCCAATGAGAGTATCAGGGACCTGAAATGAAGGATCCGGTTTGAAGAGGGATCCCGAAGACAAAGAGGTGATGAAGTGCCAGGGTGTGAAGAAAGAAATCTGCATTTCCATGGAATTTCAAAGTTCAGCACAAGAAATGTTCAGTAAAATTTTGAAGGGGCATAATAAAGAATAAAAGCATATATCTATAAGAAGATGCAAGCTGGAGAAAGAACAAGAGATGCCAACTTGTCAGTCACATGATGCTATCCCTCCATCCTGTTTCTGCCTCAACACTTACTAATCACGGCAAGGGGAAGTAATTCCCAGACCTGTGTCTGACATATCTGTTAAATGAAAGTGGCGGTAAAAGAATTAGTGCTAATTTGTGCCCAGCATATGAACATAAAGGTAACTTACTTGTGTGAAACAAGTGAGAAAGGAGAAATTTCAAATAATACTTAGTACACGTAGAATTATTTTTTAAGGAACAGCAAAATAAAAAAAAAGGAGACACAAGAACCAAATCAGGCAGCTGGATCTGCCCAGACTATTAATATTACTTTTTTTTTTTAACCTCATGTTCTACACATCCAGTACTTAGGATATCTTGCTTATATGTATCAGCTTTTCAAAACTGTGACCAGGGCTCTTCATGATCCAGCTAGGATATAAGTCTCTGACTTTGCTCAGAAATCGAGGAAAGAAAATTCCTTGAGCCTACTTTCATGGCGGTAAACAGCGGAAGCTGTTAGCAAGCAATCAGTTCTGGTAAGTGGTCCACGTGAAGTTCATCTAAATGTGTCTCCTGCCGAGGAGACAGAAGTAGAGTTGGTGGTGGATAAAATGTCCTTTGATTTTTTTTTAAAAAATCCTATTATCTTTCCTTGATTTAAACAAAATCTTGGCTCTTGATAACATGGAGAAAGAAAATCCTAAGGTAAAAGTCAAGAAGAATAAAAGCTCATTTTCAAGCCTTTGAGAGTCTAGGAGGAGAGTTAAAAAGGGAGGCAAAGGAGAATTTCAGGGACAGCTGACTGTTTTCCATTATTTGGCAGAAGGTATGACTTCTCTATAGAGGGAAAACAGGCTGTCTCCTCACGATGAAAAGGATTTGTATCATTTTGACTATAGCAGACACAGTGAACAGGCGTCCAGTTAGAAATACACAGAACACTGAAGAGAACGAGGGAGGAATTGGTGCTTTATTCTCTCGAGGAAAGGTCTGAAATTATCATTTACTCTTGGCTTTTCCTGTACCAAGTGCTAGGCCTAGTGTTACCTGTTGTTACCCTTGTCCATCTCCATAGGGTCTCAGCACCCAGATTTTTAGAGGCAAAGATTGTAGCCTGGAACAGCTCCCTTGCTTAGGTCAGCAACAAGGAAGGTCTAAGAGAACAGTTCTTGCCTCCTAGACCCCCGCCCCCTGCTCCATGGTTTCCAGACTATGTTCTGAGGCATCCACGGAGGTCATATTAATTCACAGGGATATGATGGGTTGTAGAGACTGTTTCAGGGAAGCAATACTTGAGATCAACTAGATGGCTGTGAACTGTTGGGTCACTGCTGCACGTGGTTTCCACATGTGGTTGCATGTTCTTGGTGTCATTTCTCATGAAGCTGGATTTTGGTAATTGCTATAATCAAAGAGTAAAACTTGAATGCTAGTGTATGGCATCTGAGAGCTGTCGTGTTTGCTATGACCTCCAGTTTTGAGAAAAGTTGTCAGTGTCTGATGATATCTTGGGTTTGGTTATTTAAAAATAAGATAAAATATTTTCTTTTCCAGTCTATGCATTTTATTTTTCCAGTGACCTCAAAGGAGGATAAATATATTTACTAATATATCTACTCCTACTACTTCTGTGGAGATATTGAATGTTAAGAATTATTTCAGTCTAGGGACATTATAACAAAAATTGTTGAGATACAGAGGGTATAAATATGCTAGGAATTTCCTCAATGCACAGGTGAAGACTGACTAGACAAGGCAGCCAACAAAGATAAGTCGATTCAACAAATCTCAGAAATTCTCCTGGACACCCATGAACTTCTAATTGGATAGAGGGACAGACTATAACATTAGATTTAACTATTTATGTGTCTTCTCTGTGGTGGACTCTGGGTGTACTCTGTGGTGGACTCTGTGGTGTAGTTACATCATAAACACGGCATAAGTTGAAAATATCATTAAGTAAAAATGTATTGATATTCCGAACACTCTGCATTTTACAGCCCAGCAGCCCAATACTCCTCAGTAGATGTGGTATGTATTTGGGATTCTGCAGCTGCTGAAGGGCATGCTATTTGTTGCTGAGTATCTGAGTGTATTGTTAGGCCAGCAAAAGGTCACAATTCAAAACCGGAGTATGGTTTTTGCTAAGAGTTGAAAGCTTTGACAGCAGTGCAGAGTTGAAAAATCCCAAATTGAATTATCATCTGTATACACTAGACAAGATAGAAATGGCCCTTATCCTCTAAAACTGTCTGAAGGTAATATATAAAATCATCATAAATGTTCTCATTACATTTCATGCAAGTAAACAGTGACACAGTAGGAAAAACCAGAAGGTTAGACTGGTCATGGTGACCCTTTGAGATTGGAAAGGTGAGGGCATGCTAGTCATGTAAAGAGCTGGGGGGGGGGGTGAGCAAATGAATTTCATAGGGCATTAAGAAGGGAAAAGAAAGGAAGGAATGAGGGAGGGAGGGAGGAAAGGAAGGAGGGAGAAAAGGAAGGAGGGAAGGAAGGATGGAGGGAGGGAAGGAAGGAGGGAAGGAAGGATGGAGGGAGGGAAGGAAGGAGGGAAGGAAGGATGGAGGGAGGGAAGGAAGGAGGGAAGGAAGGATGGAGGGAGGGAAGGAAGGAGGGAAGGAAGGATGGAGGGAGGGAAGGAAGGAGGGAAGGAAGGATGGAGGGAGGGAAGGAAGGAGGGAAGGAAGGATGGAGGGAGGGAAGGAAGGAGGGAAGGAAGGATGGAGGGAGGGAAGGAAGGAGGGAAGGAAGGATGGAGGGAGGGAAGGAAGGAGGGAAGGAAGGATGGAGGGAGGGAAGGAAGGAGGGAAGGAAGGATGGAGGGAGGGAAGGAAGGAGGGAAGGAAGGATGGAGGGAGGGAAGGAAGGAGGGAAGGAAGGATGGAGGGAGGGAAGGAAGGAGGGAAGGAAGGATGGAGGGAGGGAAGGAAGGAGGGAAGGAAGGATGGAGGGAGGGAAGGAAGGAGGGAAGGAAGGATGGAGGGAGGGAAGGAAGGAGGGAAGGAAGGATGGAGGGAGGGAAGGAAGGAGGGAAGGAAGGATGGAGGGAGGGAAGGAAGGAGGGAAGGAAGGATGGAGGGAGGAAGGAAGGAAAGAAAGAAAGAAGGAGGAGCCTTCTCCTGTCATTGGCTCTCTTGGTTCTTATGGCTCTCTGGTTCTGTTCTTTAGCCCACGTGAAGGCTCTAAAAGGTCAGGTGGGGGCCAGCTTTCCTTTCTCACTCACTTTGCTGTTTATGAAAAGCAGTTACCATGTTCTGTTTTGCCGTTTTGAGATAGTATCTCATAGGCTAGCCTTGAACTTACTGAGTAGCCAAGGATGATCTTGGACCCCTAACCCTCCTGCCTTTACTTTCCAAGTGCACCATCATATGAGGTACTATGTACTGCATTTCTCCTGTACTTTCTTCGGTCTTGCTTACCTCAATTCTTCATTACTTTCCCTTGGTTAAGGAGCTTTATTACCTGGCTGATTCTGTCATGAAGCGTGCAGTTTTCTACTGTATGGTCTATCATACAACCAGACATGGTAGTAAAAGTTTTCAATCTCAGTCCTTAGAAGGTAGAGGCAGCAAGGTCCTGAGTTTGTGGCCAGTTTGGGCTAATCTCAAAATATTGAAACCTGCATCAAAGACAAAAATGGCAAACTATATTTGGATGCAAAATATAAAATAAATGCTAAGTTTTCGTAACTAGTAGGATACTTGGTTGTCCACAAACACTGAATAAAATGCCCTTCATTCAACTCTCTTCAAGAGGACGATGATTGCCTGCAGTAGGCTAAAAGTAAGATGCAGAGTCTCGATTTCAAAGAAAATATTGAAATCTCCTGTGGAATTTCTTTTCACAGAGATCACGTCAGCGGATGGAGAAGCCTAAGAAAGGGATGTGGAGGTTCACGGTGAACACTGAGTTGGAAGTCAGCTTCCATTGTGGCCTGTCTCACTAATGAAGGACCTCAGGCTTTTCTCCCAGCACTAAGAAGCTATTACCAAGGGAACAATTCGATTTGCACTCTTTTTAGGAAAAGCGTTGCCAAGGCAACAAGGAGGCTGGGAACAATGTAAAGCAAGGAGACAATGGCTTTGTAGCAATGCTGACAGAGTTACTGGAAACACAGGTGGAAACGTTCGGGTTGGGGAAACTATTTGGAAGGGATAAGGAGTGAAGAGAAAGAAGAAATTGTTGCCACAATTTCCAGCCTCAAAGAATTGGTAGTCAATGTTGTGAAATCTGATTAAGGTTAGGGCAGAAGTGGAAACAAGTTTGGGGAGGAAATGCAAAATTTAATTTTGGATGTATTATTTTTGGTGTGTTCTTTATATGGAGACATTTTTCGGGAGACTTTAGCTTCATTTTATCTACCATGGAGTTATTATTAAATTTGTAACCACAGATATTTTTCTCCCTTTTTACATCCCAAATTTCCAAATTAAGCAATTATAGAATCTTCTTACATTTGTAGTAAATTTACTCACTTTTAGGTTTTCATAACCACAATGTAACAAAGGATATTAATATGTGATTCTGTGAAGTTTAAATACAAAGTGTGTGTGTGTGTGTGTGTGTGTGTGTGTGTGTGTGTGCACTTGCTAAATATTTTTTCCTCTCCTGTTTGTATTGTTCTAGTATCCTAGATGGGAATGTGGTATCACGGGGGAAAGGGAGCATAGAGACACGTAGAAGGCAAAGAAAAGAAAACTAAGCTGAGATATACTTCTTCAGGTGCGCTGGTGTAGCCTCTAACCTCTCCAGGTGTTACTCCCTTAGGTATGAAAGTGTACTTCTCTTTCAGGGGGTCTGCAATCTACAGCTATTTTTGCTTTGTTTTGGTTTTACAATAGAGTTTCACTTTGTGTCCTAGGCTGGCCTTCAACCCCCAACCATCTTCCTGTTTCTGTCTCCCAAGTGTCCCTGGCTGCTTTTTGCTCAAGGTCCTCTTTCTGTTGGTAATGTGCTCCACTGCTTCCTGTTTTAAGGGAATCATGCCATCTTTAATGTATGCTTCAGCCTCAATACAGGACAAGAGATCATGTGATCACTTCACCTGTTTCTCCAGTTTAGCTTTGAATCACCTGGGAGCCTCATACACGTTTTCATCATTTTGTTCCTCTCACAGTGTTTAGCACAGTGCTACTTATACAGTTGGTGTTCAGACGCCACAAGGAGATTATTTGGAGTGCAGATTTGTAAAAGAGTTTTGTCAGTCTAGACTTTAGAGAATGTGGACCAGACATGCTCATTCCTACTGTGTTTCCAGTGGAGTAAAAGATGCAGCTAATTAGTTGAGGGATTGATGAGATAGTCGAGGTGGCAGAATGTAGTTGAATTCTTTTCAGACCATACAAATCAATAAGGCAGAGTTTGTAGTTCATTCTCAAGCATAGGGAACAAACTTCTCATAGTCAGATCCCAAAGTCTGAGTTTTTATTTTCTTTAATTAAAAAATTTTTTTTGACTGAAACTCAGACACGAAAATATTAAGAAAAACAGAGAGAGTTCCAGAACAGCCAGGACTGTTTCACAGAGAAACCCTGTCTTGAAAAACAAAAACAAAACAAAACAAAAAAACCCCAAATCATGGTAAACTTAGTAGGAATTTTACTGTGAAAATGTCCCATTAGTTTCCCCAGCAGACGATCAGGTAAGATTTGGGATGGTCACCATTCTCATGGGTATAACATCCTGGCTAGCTAAGGCAGCAGATGGGCCACTGTATGTATTAATGACATAGTAATCATTTTGGCCTTGATGGTGGTACTCATCCTTGATTTACTAGATGTAACCCTCATATCTCAAAAAAGAGTCATTTTTATTTGAGGAAATAATGTGTAATTCGCTTACTAAAGCGATCAACTCAGTTAGAAGAAACATTATCACCCAAAAGCCTAAAAGTCAAACCACACTGGCAATTACCAATAACCTCCAAATACCTCCACTGTAATCTCCTTTGGGGCCACCGGCCACTTGTGCTCAAACTTTTCTTTCACAGTTTGCTCCGTGTTAGCTGTTGGATTTGAGTTCTCAACTCGCACTCCGTGGCTTGGCTTACCCACCAGATTTTGAACAGATTTTACCATATTCTTTAAATCCTCTGGGTAAGGAGTTGGATAGCGTTTTAGGTTTATTTCAACCTAGAAGTTTATAAAAAGAAATTGAACATAAAAACGACTTCAGAAAGCATGTTCACCAAGCTACTCCACGGTACAAGCTTCATCAAAAACAAATGCAGTACAGTGAGTGTTGGGCTGCCCGGGGAACTGCCCTCGGTGTGAGGAGTGGGGCTTGACTCCTGTTCAGCCTTGGGGGGCTGGCCCGACTCCTTCACACCCTCAGACATCATCAATGATTTCTTTAGGTTATACTCTATCTTTTGATGAGTGAAATAGCAGTAGATAAGACTCTTAAGTGACTGCTAATGTCATAAAAATGGAATAATGTATTACCAGTTACATTACATCTTAGAAGTTTACTATCTTTAGTATTTAATAATTTCCATAATGAGAATGCCTTTGGAGTTCAGTGCAGGTATTGGGAGGGAGGAGACCTCAGAAGATTTACAAGCAGAGTAAGCAATAAAAAAAGCCAAACAGGTGTTAGCCCAGGTTTATAGCTAGCACACACTGTCAAAAGGGAGGGTGGCTTATACTTTTTAAGACTTCAGAAAAATTCTCTGAGGTGGCTTTCACACTTGTGTTTTACACTAATAGGTCATATGTTTCTTGCGTAATAGATTATATAAAGACAAATAAAAAATCACTTCTTAAAAATATGTTTAGGCAAATGTACATGTTTTGGATGCTGTTATCCAGATATTTTTCATTCATTTGCAGGTGTTAATCTTAACTTTCAAGAACACACTGAAGGACTCTTCTTAATACTGATTTCTGATATGTAGAATATTCTACCACGAGAGTATTAATTATTACATATTTAAAAGAGATTCAATGCGTAGTCATTCATGTTGACTGGACTCACCAAAAGAGATTGGTGTGCCCAGTTTGGCTTCTGTCAATAGCTGTGTCATTTTGAATCTGAGTAGAATCAACTTTTTAACATGGAATGGTTTGAGTGGTTGTGGTATGTCTTGTGGAACGCAGGTGTGTGAGGGTGGAGGGTGGGAGCAGAGGAGGTGGAAGAGAATGAGGGAGGAAGGGGTGGGAACGGAGGAAGGCAGCCAGGCGGGGGCAGGGACTCCCCATCTGGTCCATGGCATGTAGGAGAGGCTGGAGAGTATGAAGGACTCAAACACTTTTGCTAATCTGCTCGTTTAGCAAATCCACCAATGGTGTTACTCTTAGGATTCACTGTGGCTTGTTATCCTAACAAGATAACAGAATTGGATGCTACAATGTATATAAAATTTTTTTGACATTAAAAGCATACAATTATCTTTCAGTACATATTTGGAATGCAGAAAAACATCAGCTTTTGTTTAACTCGGGTAACTGTAATCTATTTTTTTTAATGTTCTCAAATAAATGAGAATAGGCCAAATAAATAAAGGTCAATGCTGTAAGAACCCAAGATAAAATTGGGTTTCATGGGAAAAAGTGAGTTTTTATGGTTTAATACTAATATGTTCCAGGAGGTTGATTTATAGTGTCTTCTTCAGTAAACACTGAACAACAACGTCCTTCTAGCCAGAGTACACTGGGATGTACATACACAGGGATTTGCACTTTAAGTCCACGTTAGAAACATTAGTTCCGAATTATATTTACTTTTAAGCTACAGGGTTGAACTTGTTTAAAGGTATTTAATATCAAGGGGCTAAAAGTTAAAAAACCCTACGAATCTACATTTATAAATTGTGAATTGTAAGGTGGACTGTCCATCTGGCCAATTGAAACCATTGTTTTTCTTTTAATAGCTAGTGGTAGATTGTTAAAAAGGAGTCTAAAGTAAGGTGCTAAATAGAAGTTCTTTGCAACTCAAATGTCCTCAGCAGTGACATGCTCTCCTGATCTGAGGTAGGGGATATCTGCCCTGTACTTCCCTAAGTTCTATGCTTCTTCACGCCACATGGTTCGCAGCCACTAAACAGACCACACCAAATGTGTGGATAAGCAACTTGATGTGGTAGTTTCCTTAGTTTGGTTATTCTAATGTTGTGGAAGTATTTAACTGTGAAACAGGTGTGTCACGTAGCTTCCACCATTTATCTGACTGTTACAATCAAGGCGATGGATGGTTCCTGTTTAATTATTTATTTATATTATATGTTTAAAAAATTTTATATATTTTTTTCCCTTGAGATGGCTCTTTGCCACATTTGGGAATCTTTAGGAATCACTAAACTTGAATTTGTTCCATCCAGAAAATAACCACTTTGCCCCCATTTACTATTCTCACAGAACTCTGGGCTTGGGTTCATGAAGTATCAATTCAAGCTGTGGGTCTACCTCTGAGGAGACACTGGCCCCTAGTCTGTTGCTTCTGCTTATGAACAATGGAAATCCAGTGCCTCTCTCATGTACTTGCATTTATTCAGAACTAAGGCAGCATAAATGTGAAGTACCTTGAAGATGTATTAAGTCGATGCAGAGATCTCAGTTTGTAACTCAGGTTGGTCTCATGCTCTCAATCCTCCTGCCTCAGCCTCTTCATTATTGGGATTAAGGTGAACGCCACAACACCCCGCTTGTTCTTGTTTTTCATGTCAGAGTTGACTTGTTTATTTAAAAGCTCTGAGTCCCTTTGGTAATGTAGACTCTGCCCGACATGTCTAACTCAATGCTGAGTCTTTCTTTCTGGCTGTATAGAGCAGTCCTTACTCAGTGCTTTCCATGTCCCAGGCATGATACTGAATGCTTTATAGCATAATTAATTTATTATTGATTAACCATATAATATGAGATAATATTTATAACTATTCCTATACATTTTAATACAAATAAACATGTATATATAATGAGAAATATTACATACTGCAGAATGTTATCAATTTGGAATTGTATGTTTAACTTTCAGAAAGTTGTTGTGATTTTATGGAAGGTGTGTCGGTGTGGAACTGGTTAACTTTTCTCTGCAGTCATGTTAAAACTTAAGTCTTCTGGATTCTAAGGTTTACATCACACTGCTGTGGTTTAGTTAAGAGGTGTTATCTGGTGCACTATGACATGGACTTGTGTAACCTTGTGGAAAAGGTGCTTAGCAAGTAAAATGTGAATTTTGTTGTTAAACAATAAGATAATTTCAATTTAAGAAATAAATCTAAGTAATTTTAATTTGTAACCTCTTTCAAAGTAAAACTGTGTTTTATAACCCAATTCTATTTTAAGCTCTACATAGACATATTGATACCCTTCCTTCTTAGTTCCTGCCTTCAGTATTTCAGAAGTGGGCCAGCATGGCCTTAAAGAGTTATTTTACAGGTTCAGGGGCATTCATATAAAAAAGCAGTTTCTTTATTTGTAAACACTTGGGATAGAAACATTCCCCATCCTATTATGATATAAAACGTAAGTGAATTTCTGACATACAGAGGTGGGAAAATCTACAGAATTCATTCTGACAATGGTGTTAAATTTGTCACTCACTATAAAGTATTTGCTCATGTCACACATTGTATTAGAATGCAAGATTTTTACTTATATATATATATATTAATTCTGTGAGATAAAATGCTTCACAAGACTCTTAATATCTAAATGAAGTACAATAAATGCAAATAGCAGCTTCAAGGCATTGGAGACCCCCAAAAGTACAGTAAAGAAAGAATTACTTATAATAGTGTTGGCATTCAGAAATGGTGTCTTGGATTCAGACAGAACTGTTTCTCATATATTATATTATAGGCACATAATATAATATACTTTACATAGCCATTAAATTTGAATTTGATTGTAAATTCCAGTAAGAGAAACAATAGAGCTTTGCAGTGACAATTAGATATCAGATTATTCTAGAAATTAGTGGGGGACATTTTACATCAAAGGGAACAGGGCAGTTTTAGTCAGGAAGGTGCATTCTCAGCTTGTCTTATATTGTGGGAAGAATATAAGACATAGAATGAGAATCTAGTCCATTACATGTGGGTGGCGACGTTTATAAAAACACAGTGTTCCTATGTAGTTTTCCGCCTATCATTTCTCCTCTTGGACACCCAGCCCGGAGAAAGGGAATCCCTTTCTCTGCCATGACTCCCGAACCCCACTTCTCTTACAGGAATTCATAAAATTTGAATCTTCAGATTAAGGGGCGTTGCTGCATTTGAACAGAAGTCTCTGTTTGCTCAGAGTCCACTCCCAGCAAATCTCAATTTCAACGTCTGTGTTTTCAAGTCAGGTTTTATCCAGTTCTCCCCCCCCCCCCGAGCTGAGAAGCGTGCTTGTTCACAGGGCAATTCCAATCACTTCCAAAGCCTGGTCAGCGTTCTGCACAACTGGCCGTATCCCCAACTGGCCGTATCCCCGCACGTTAAATTAAAGAGCCAAAGAATAGTAAACAAAAGCAAAGCCCCAACTTCAAAGCCATGCCAGCTACCCCACAAAAAGGCACCTTAAATTGAAGTCCCCACCCTCTGGCTCAGGCTCCCCATCCTTTGCCAGTGTCAATAGACATAAATTGATGCCGACATCGGCAGTCCGAAGGCTGCTGTGCGAACAACAGTTCTCACCCCTAGTCATGCAGCACACATACCCCATAAAGCACTGTTCCAAGGGAGCCTCTACTGGGCTTCTCCTACCCCAGACACCTAGGCCTACCTGTCTGCCACTTAGAGAGGGAAGAGTGGTGGACTGTGCTGCCACTGGCAAGGGAGCACACATGCTCCTCTCCTGCTGGAGGCCACTTATACAACCCCATGCCAGCTGGGGGTCACTCTGGGGGACGGGCATATCTTGGATCTGCTGATCACACCTGGCCCATGGTGTGCAGCAATCGCCAGACAGCCTGGCAGGTTGGAGAGTAATCCCACGCTGGCCCCTGTCCCAGGGGGCTTGGCAGGAGAGAGCCTGTGGGAGAAGGAATCTCCATTTTCTGGGAGAAACAGGAGGGCTGCAGGCAGCAACATGTTTGCTTGATCATTTTCTACCCTTGGATAGCTTTTTCTTCCATTCTGGGCAATGCATTTAAAACAGTGAAGTTTAACTCCATGTAGTCAAACAGCATCACACGAAGCCACGGGTGGCAACGTCCTCACACAGCTCAGCATCCACACTCACCGTACACACTCCAAGCAGGACTTCGTATGCTTTTCCCATCGAAAGCTGATGGCATAGGCCTGTGGTTCCCTTTTAAATTTCAGGTCAATTAAAATTAAAATGGTGCTAACTTTAATGTACATGTAATGAACCAGAAGAGGGCGGACTGGTGAGACCCCAGGATGTTCCATTCATCATCTCCCACGATGATGTACTTACGGGTGTTTCTCCTCTAATTTGTCTGATAGCCAATAGCATCGGAAACAGCCAAATTAGTCAAGTAGTTGGAGATTTTGGAAAAACATATTGTTTTACCAAAATGCAAATAAAGTGAATGTAAATAAATGCAGAGAAAAATCAAACCACGCTAAAGCGTATGGAGCCCGTTATGAGCGTAGACATACTAACCACAGAGCACACAAACAGGGTTATTAAATTATGGTTTCCATTTCTATATTTCATGATTTTATAAACACGTCTAGGGAGCATATTAAATGTATTTTCTCTTGATCCTTGACTATATATTTTTAAGAGGAAACACGTAGTTAATTTGACAATTCAATGAAATATAAAAATGAATCAAGAGTCCAACACAGAATGCATCACCCATTGGATCTTGATTTTACGCAAAATCCCCGAAGAGGGGAACTGAATTGTTTTAAAGGTTTGTATCAAATTTAGCAAAGTTATTTTCTGAAAATTCATAAGTTTTAAAACGTGTCTCTTTGGTCATAAGATAGCAATAGTCAATCATCCATAAATGTTTCTTCAACCAGAAGTTTTAAAAGACAGTATGTCATTTTGGATTTATGACTCCATTTTGAGTTTTCAGTAATGACACAGTCATCACGAATAATGGTTTAAGAAGTAACATTTAGAAAACGGGGCAAGGTGGGGACAGGGAACACCACACAATCTTGATTTATTAATAAAGTGCATATATAGTTACTTAGGTCATTAGTCACTACAAGTGAAAGCTGTTAGTATTCATGATGTTTTCGTAAAATTACACAAATTATATAAAAATCGACGAGAGATTCAAGCTGCCATCATGATATAACATGAAAAAGTGTTAATGAAATCTCAGCTAATTCTAATATTTGAGAATGTAAATAACGGAAAATATATGTTTAAATGTGTAACCTTGTTTCTTCACTCAGATTAGTCACAACAAAAGATTTCTTAAAAATGCAGTTAAAATAAAGAAGTTGTTTTGCCTAAACATCTACACCTGTGATTGGACACTCACCTGCTTTTAACACCCAAACTTAGAGAAACAGAAGTTCTTTTCAAATACCCCAACCATGTAGAAGACTTAAGGGATGCCATGCCACTGTAATCCTCCAGTCTGCGTGTCTTCCACAAATACGTTTTTTGGCTGGTATTGTCTGCACGGGGCCTGGCCCAGTGACCAAAAGGATCATTGCAGCGTTACAGACGAATGAAGATTCAGGCGAGGTTCATCACCTAGAGTTTCCCTCACTTTCAGCTTGAATCTCTCGCGAGTTGTTATACTGGGGAGTGTGTGTACAAATCAGACTTGCTCAGTCAGAACTGGGACATTCGTCTCAATCTGAATCACACCAATGCTGCCCAAACACTTGCCCTCTAGATAGGGGTATCTTCACGAGACTAGAAAATGACTGTGACCTTCCAGAGAGGCCACTTAGTGGATCCCTTCTCTGTCTGAATAGTAACAGCGGACAGACAGAACAACAAGAGAAACAAAGGCCAAAAGTTCACCTTAACTTTCCCAGCACTTTCGTCTTCTTCTTTCTTATCCTCAAATTCAAAGGCAACAGTCATGCGCTGTTGTCTCTGCTCCTCCCACAGGGTGGGGTTGAAGCTGTCGCTGTCTGACTGGAAATCTACGGAGTCCAAAGTATTAATGCTTTTCTTTTCCTTTAGATACAGGATGCATTTAATCAAGTTTAACATAGTATGCAAAAAGAGACAGCAAGCACCACCAATGAATACAATAAACACATTTAAAAGGGTCGGGAAGAGATACTGAGGAAGAGGAAAGAGAGAGCAGGAAGGACAGGAAAGCAGAACATTCTTCTCCGTGTGTCTTATGTCGTCTGTATTTACTGTTAGTCATGAGGGTTGGGAAGTTTCCTAGCATAGGAATGGGTTCCCTTGGGCCAACAGTAGCAGCCTGGAGATTGGATGAAGCATTTCAGTCTCTCTAATCCTGAAGAAGCTGTCAGTCTTCAGGTTCTGCCCCAGGTCTCTCAGGTCCCAGGTCCTACTCCATGTGTGGGTGACTACGGAGCCCGTGTCACATTGAAACAAAGCAAGATACTACACAACAAGTACCCAATAATCTGACATTTTTGTTGGTTCTTTGTGTGCGTGTGAATAGAGTAACCTCATTTTTAAGGTAGCGAATACACGGAGAATTCAGTTTTAACACCTTGTTTTCTAGTCCCTTAAATGTGCCTCAAATAAGCAGGGAAGATGATTTATAAAATCTCTAATTTACATCAAAATGTTGTCTAATGGCACCTGCTTTGTAACACAATAGGGAAAATTGCGTGAAAGCCCAATAACAGGTGCTTAGCTGAGGCTAACTTCTTTCCCAAAGAATTTTGCTTTGTTGCATATTTCTCTGACTTACAGGATTCTTAAAATTCATTTATTATTTTCTTTTTCCACAGACAGAAGTTGACTGGCTGGGTTGAAGCTTAAGAATCACTTTTCAGTAATTACACCAAATTTTATGTCCTCAATAGAAAAACAAACAGAAAATTCAAGACAGCAAAGGCAAACGCTTTTGCATCTTAGGTCACCTGACTACTGACCTCATACCTGGGAACTGACCAGGGGTTTAGGTGACACACTAGATCCCAGGGATGGCTTGTGGATCTGGGCTATTCTTTATCTTTTCTTTACATTATTTTGAAACCCAGGGATGTCATGAAGAAGAGAAAATAAATTCAGGCTAATAGAACAGTTCTTATTTGGTTCTTTATGATACAAAACTGTGGTGGCATTTCTCTTATAAAATCAAAAGATCAATTTATGCAGATGTGAAAATTACTTTTCCAAACAACCTTCCCCTTTTCTATTTCTGCAAGTCAAAACTTTTAATAAAAGTATCTTTACATCTCCTACAGTGATTCATTTACATCTGGAAGTCAAAGACTAGAGCTGTTTATCACCATTACTCCTGAAAATGAGAAGACACAAGCAAATAGTTCTCAGACAGGATGGGTTCATCTGTGGCTGCATTAAAGTGGGTTCATTGCCATAGAACCCCCATGATTCTGCATGGCTCCAGAGAACACAAGTCAGACAGCCCTGTTTCAAACAGGAAAAGGCAACGCTTTTTAAATTTTTTTAATTTATAATATAATGTATAATTTATAATATAATGTATAATAGTGTGATCCTAGGCCAGAAGTCTTATTGTAACAGGCTTAGGTTTTTACGAAGTGTTTCTAAATCATAACTGTTGACATTGCTTAGGGAATCTCAACGTAAAGACAAAATAATGTAATGGAAAAAATGTCATTATTGTAAGTCAAGTCCTATGAATAACTCGCATGTAGGGGTCCAAGGTTGTTGTCCTGATCTTTAAAATATGCTCTGTATATACGAGCACAAGAGAAGATCCTCTCCAGCCAGTCCTTTAGCTCTGAACTCCTTCTTTTTGCTGCCAGTCGCTGGGTACCACATTTGGTGACCAGGTCCCATTCCCTGCAGTCTAACCCTTAAAGAAGAAGTTAACTCTAGAGTGTTTACATTATTCTCACATGAGCTATACGTTTCCTTGTGTGTGTATGTGTGTGCGCCTGTATGTTCATATGTGTTTGGGTACACATGCAAGTGGAGCCCAGTGATCAGCATTAGGTCTCCTCTTCATTTGATCTCTACCTTAATTTTTGGAAAAGGCTCTCTCATTTGGAACTAAGGCTCACCAACTAGGCTAGGCTGACTGCAGAGCAAGCACAAGGCATCCTCCTCTCCTGTCTCTGCTCCCAGCATTGGGATTATGGGGACTGAACTCAGGTTCTCATGTTCGTAAGACAAGCACTTTGCAAGCTGAGCTATCTCTGGAAGGAGCCTGGCCTTTGGAATCTTCAAATATTACAGCACCGAGACTCAAACTCCCAGATGGTGTGCTATGGAGTTTTCTTTTGTTGCCTGTAAGCCAGTATTTCTGAACAGAAATTAGAATTAAAAACTTCTTTTTTTTCCCCCTGCAACATCATTAAAAATTAAAGAGTGAATCTGAAGACAACTTACCTTCATCACCGCGGGGTTGTTGGGGAAACATGTAGTTGGTCAGTACCCTTTGCTTGGTTTCCGGGTGGGCTTCTGTTTGTAGAGGTATAAGGGCCTTGGACTGGAAGCAATAAGCACCAGTTAGATGAACAAATTAGTCAAGATTTTACATGAGGAAATAGCTAATAGTCTGACCTCTCAGAGATGACTGGATAAGATGACATACCATAGATATTGCTGAGACTCTTTCCAGATTTTAAGGTTTTTGCGATGTTTGGTCTTCTTTAGTGTACTGTTTAAAAGCTTATCAAAACATAGTCAACTGAGCACTTCAGTTCTAATCTTGAGGAGGCAAGAGAGTATTAAACTGTTCAACTGAATGAGGGTTTAGTGTAGTCCTGGGGCATGCCTTCCTTCTCCCAGGGTGTGGTCCAGACTGACGTGTGGTGCTTGCACTGCTCACATTGAGCAAGGCACAGCCCACATATGAATAAAAGCTGCGTGCATATCTGAGGTTTATGTTGTACTTTATTGTTCGTCACAAAGGTGATATCAGAAATACTACCTTTAAAGGCTTTTAGAATAGGTATTATTTTCATAAGAATAGGTAAATGCCATTTATTAATAGGAAACAAACAAGGGCTTCCTGAAGCTATCTAGACACATTGCAGCAATTCCCACAGTGTAAGGCTACCATCCCAGCAGCAGAGTCCACAGACTCTGGAAACAACCATCGGTAAGCTTCAACGACGATCCAACCGTTTACCAGCTGACGGAAGCAGGAGCTGTGATTAACTGAAGAAATTCAACACTCTTACACTAACACTCTAAATCTGTAGGAGTCATTTTTAGTTTGTAATAAAAGTCCCCAAATAACTAGAAATAGGAATTTGGTGCCAAGGGAATATGGATATATTGAACTGAAGGTGCATTGTTTTTATTTGGCCATTTATAATTTGGGGTAATGGTTTCAAAGATTTAGAAATACTAGAAAAATGATTAGTAATAAATTCTGCTGACATGACTCACAGACTCTCTGTTTCCTGTTATTTTCCAGTTAATAAAACTATTCATTAGCATGCAACCCCTGATTCCACTATACTCTATTTTCATGAGTATATAAAAATATCAAGATAACCACAAAAATACTGAAGATAGCTATCAGTATATCAGCAAAGGTCTTGAATAAAGTTTTAGAATTAAGTTGATCATAATTAAAAACAGTGAGGGGAAAAAGAAGATAGCGGCTGGTAATTCCCTCTTGTGGGAATTGTGGTAATGGGTTTTCTGTTTTTACTTTCAGAGCTATAATTAAGGTGTGCCCTCCAAGGACGTGAGCACCACCAGGAGCTGAAAAGCCAACAAACTATCATCTGTAGGCTGGGTCTTTGACAATGAAGTAGGTGTGGAACAGAGGGGTTTGAGGAGCACGGAGCCCATGGCACTGTTTCACCAGCGCAGTATGTGATGGACTTCTGTGCAAAACTCTCCTCCAGGCATAAGGAATAGTTGTCAAGTGTATCTACGGGGACTCAGTAATCCAAAGTTTCAATTACACTTCATCTAAGGAACATGATAACTCAGGGCACAAAAGTGTTTTTTTTTTTTTACCTGATTGTCAGAAAGCCACAATGCTGCAAGCTCTTTGAGTTTGGTGAATGAGAACGGTAAATTCTTCAACCTGCAGAGACAAGAGATGTCTCATAGCATAGACACAGACAGCTAAACTCATTTCTAAGAACATTTAGACACACTACTGTGTTGATTCATTGCTCTCTTCAATTCTTTCTCTGGAGTGCCTAAACAATCTTAAAAGAATGAAAATCTTCTTTGTTATTCATTAGTGTGTGTGCGTGTGTGTGTGTCCGTATGTGCATATGCGCATGTATTTCTGTACATGTGAGCATGTGGAAGCCAGAGGACAACTTCCGGGTTTTTTTCTCTCCTTCCACCAAGTAGGTCCTGGGTTCAAACACAGATCAACAGGATTGGAGGCAAGTGCCTTTATCTGTTGAGCCATCTCCCAGGCCCAAAACAACAAAAATCTTTCTAATCTTTCAAATGCTTTCCACAGTATTTAAATAAAACAAAAATCCTGTTAGTACCCATGGTCAGGCTCTGCAGTGTGCACCCCAATACCAGAGAAATGACTGCTTAGTTAAGAGAACTTATTGCTCCCCCTAGGACATGAGTTCAGTTCACAGTCCTCATCCTAGGCAGCTCACAACTGTTTTTAACTCCAACTTCAGTAGATCTTCACAAATTTGCACACACACACACACACACACACACACACACACACACACACACACACAAATAAATGGAAAAAATAAGCCGGGCAGTGGTGGCACACGCTTTTAATCCCAGTACTGGCAGTGGTGGAGTTCAAGGCCAGCCAGGTCTACAGGAGCTACTTTCAGGACAGGCTCCAAAGCTACAGAGAAACCCTGTCTCGAAAAACCAAATAAATAAAATAAATATAAAATCTTAATACCCCTAAAACTGCTCTGATATCCCAGCATTGATTCTCCTTTTCTCATAGCTGGAGTGCACAATGATGTTCTACCAACTCAGGAGAAATTTCAGCTTGGTCCTCTCTGGAATAGTCTTCCTACTCCGCTTCGTTTGATTAAATACCACAGTTCTTCAGTGCTTAAATTTCTCATAGGAAAGGTTTCTCTGGGTCCCAATAGCTTCCTTCCTTCAGTCTAGTCTCAGAGTGGCTTGCACTTGCCTACACAGACTATTTCACAGCTTTTATATGGGACTATTTTTTTTTGCAGTCATTTGTTTATTATCTGATATCCTCACAAAACTATAGTTCCCAAAAGGGCAAGGGCCACGATATCTTACTTCTAAATCACTTCGTAGTTTCTAAAGTGATGCTGATCTACAGAAATTTCATCTCTTGTACATTGCACAGTAGGCATTACAAGAAGGAATCTTTAAAAACAGTATTTTGGAGTTTTGTGAAGTTTGTCCTTGGCTGTAGCATTCCATAAAAGTGTGGCTTCCCGCCTTTGGAAAGCCAGACCGACAAATGTACCAGCCAATGTTTCTTGGTGTCACAGAGCCAGTGTGTGATCGGCACATTCTGATTACATCAGCCACCATCATCATCTCAGCTTCAGAGACAGCAGCACACAGTGGCAGCCTCAGCAGCTTATCCCCGAGTATACATTCTGACTGGTAATGGGAATTTCTGTAAGTCTTTTGTATATTGGAATGCTATGAGTCAATTGACAAATGCACTTTTAGAAAGGAAGTGAAAAATGTTACAATAATTAATAAGGACTTAATTTATGTTCAAAAATGATCAGGCATTTTCAAATAATTTAGTAAATGTAAAAAGAGGTTGGCCACCACTGTAAATGTTAAGGGTGTGTGGTGGAGTTCTTAGGGAGACTACCTAATCTTATAAAAGAATGAATATCTGTGAACATAAGTAAGAACACAAAAAAGCAGGTATTGACTTATATCATGATTCTTTCTTAGCAGAAACTGAATTACCCACACAAGTTGTTTAAATTCATGGGGACTAGAAATTGTGAAGTAAATTTTATAGGGTGGGGTAGCATGTTTGATATTATACACGGTTAAATACAAAGCTGCCATTGAGTTTCACATCAGTGAAGTTCGTGTAATATTCATGCCATGTTCATGCATGTCCCTGAGGAGTCATCGTGATGCAGTCCTAATGTGCTGTACTCCCCTGGTGATTCTGATGGATGAGCAGGGCATTGGCGAAGGCACAACCTTGTAGCTGACAGAGCAAAGTGTCCCTGTTCCCAGTTACAATGCCACACTTTGTCAACTGATTTTATTTTAAACACAGAATTGCAACGGTTCACTACTTACGATAGCACTTTTTTTTCTTTTTTTTAAATTAATTTATTTATTTATTAAAGATTTCGGTCTCTTCCCCACCGCCGCCTCCCCTTTCCCTCCCCCTCCCCCAATCAAGTCCCCCTCCCTCGTCAGCCCAAAAAGCAATCAGGGTTCTCTGCCCTGTGGGAAGTCCAAGGACCACCCACCTCCATCCAGGTCTAGTAAGGTGAGCATCCACGAAACTGCCTAGGCTCCCACGAAACCAATAGGTGCAGTAGGATCAAAAACCCATTGCCATTGTTCTTGAGGTCTCAGTAGTCCTCCTTGTCCGCTATGTTCAGCGAGACCAGTTTTGACCCAGGCTTTTTCAGACCCAGGCCAGCTGGCCTTGGTGAGTTCCTGATAGAACATCCCCATTGTCTCAGTGTATGGGTGCACCCCTCGCGGTCCTGAGTTCCTTGCTTGTGCTCTCTCTCCTTCTGCTCCTGATTTGGACCTTGATTCTTGCTTTAAGTCCTGTAAGCAGTTAGTTCTCTGTGGCAGTGTTAATGTTGGCCTCAGAGTTCACTACGCCTTGTCTACCTCTGCCAGCTTGATTCACTGATGGGCTAATTGGCTGGAAATATTAGCTTGGTTATGTTGTTGTTGCTGTACTACAGGATGTGTATGATTTTTTTCTCTTTTGACCTTGTGAGTCGCTGATGTCTTATTCATATACTTCCTCAGCATCCACAAATGTGTCTGACCCCTGGTGAGTGTTGAAGTTTGCTTGATTAGCTAGGTAAAGGCCACCAACATATCAATACTTCTATTATAGGTCATTCGTGATGTTTGGTAAGCTTGTTTGCCATATAATCATTCAGAATGTTTAGGGAAATGAGTATTTGGGAGAGACTTCTATAGCTTGTCATGAAGATTCTCTTTCTAGGTTGACAAGCACTCAGCCTCACTTAGTGAATTCTGTGATGCTTTTCCTGTGGTGTTAGTGAAGTCGCAGGAATTAATCTTTCTATGGTGATTCCACTGAAGTCAGTAGAAGCCCATTTCTCTATGGAGTTTCCATGATCACACTTCCTAATCTAGCTCACAGGAACTTCTTTAAAGATCTCAACAAAGGCCTTCTCAGATGTGGCACTCAGGGCATTGCCTCTTCTGCCAATCTGGCCACCAAGCCGGAGGAGGACATGACTGGGTCTCAACACACAAAGCAGTGATGTCACATTGCCACTTTGGTTTATAATTAAAATAATCTCAGACCTTATAATAAAACACTGTATTTCCTTACTTGGGAGCACGGCTTAACTACAAAGACAATAGTTTCTTTTTAAATTGATATTATTTTCCTAAAGGAAACTGAAAAACAAATGAAAACTTTTGTGTTCATTATGAAACTTTGGTGAGTATTCTTCATGACTTACTAAACTCTGGTCTCTGACCACCCCAGTGCAAGTCTGAGCTACTCACACTGTCATTCATCTGACAGAAGTTTAGGTGCTCTGCTCTGAAGACACTGTGTCAAGACAGAAGCCCTCCAGTATCTACTCTTCCCATTCCTATGAGGACAGTTGTTTTAATAGACAAGATGAGAAAAAAGACAAATTTTAGTTGCATGTTTGTTTCTAGCCCCCACCAATATAACACACGATAAGAAGAGGGTTCATCCTCCCCCCCCTTTTTTTTGTCCGTCTTACTCTGAATATGACTAAATATTCATCCCTGCTGCAATGAATTAACCTGTGGCGTTGTATCAGAGCTGACTAGTGATAATCTTACCTGTCACTATATAGACCAGGCTGCCCTCTGGGATGAAAGGTGTGTACCACCACGTCTGGCTCCATAATTTACTTTTATTAAATAATTTACATACCTGTTATCACTTAGATTTAAGACTCGCAGCCTCTGCATCTGCCCAATTTCTTCAGGAAGAAATTCTAGCTTATTGGAGCGCAGAGACATAACGGTGACATTCTTACAGCTGCCAATCTGTAGGTGGCAAAAGGAAGCGGGGTTTACAATGTTGGGCTGTCTACCGTGTGAAATTCTCGAAGAATAAACAATAGTGTATTTTAGAAAAAAGCCACAAAATGTTGTTACTACGTATTAGTTTCTCTAGTGTACAAAACAATTTAGGCCACAGATAAGTTCTTCCTCTCTCTCTCTCTCTCTCTCTCTCTCTCTCTCTCTCTCTCTCTCTCTCTCTCCTGAGATGGTGTCTCACATTGCAGTGCAGGCTAACCTAAGGCTCCGCATGTTAGTCAGGCAGGTCTTGAACTCGCGGTGACCCTCCTGAGCACTGAGATAGTAGGAATGTGCCACCACACCTAGCCTAGAGATTCCTTTACCATCTTAATGTCTCTTAACACATGTAATGTAGTGTGTTTACTGATTTCTGCTTTTATAACCTTTCTCTTTACACTGATTTATGATTTTAGATGTGATGATAATGCACATTTCATATTCTTTCACATATTAAGAATAATTATTTAAATAGTGAAAATCTTTAAACACTTGGTAGCCCTGCTGTTTTCACAAATCATTTATTTTTCTACATGATTACCAATATACTTGTGCTTAAGGCAGGACAGCACACATATTTAACTCTCGACACTTCCTTAGCAAGTCTGATTTTATGTCACATTACATAGCATTTGCTATTTTTATTAATAATTTTTGACTAAAAATTTTTAGTATAACGCTTTAGACTAGAAATACACTTTACATTTTCTTCTGGACATTAAAAAATAAATCCAGTTTAGAAATAAAATTAAAAGATTTTCTTCGTGTATCCAGAAACTAAAATAATGCTATAAGAAACATTAAGCCTCAGAGACAAATTTATAGTAAAATCCAGGCTTTTACTTCAGAAGTAGAAATACAATTATCCTAAGTGCTGTGTATAGCAATTCTTAAAAGCAAAATAAATAAATGATTCCAGATTTCATCCCTTAGCATTGATTAACATATTTTTACTAATCTTTACATGCAAAATTTAGTTGAGCTTACCACTCAAAAAAGCAATTAGCATATATTTATCTAAACAGTAATGCCTACATATTTTCAAAGCTCAACTCATACATCCACTCTGTGATTGCACCTGTTAGAACTTTAATTCGAAACAGAGTCATTGAAAGTTAACTGATAGAAAACAGCTTGTTTACTTCTCTGGGCAACTCTGGGAGGAAATTCTCATCGACTGCTAAGGTTCGCAGGCTGTGCAGGTACCCAATGGTGGAAGGAAGAGATTCCAGCTCATTGCAGCTGCAGTCAAATTCTTCTAACAAAGACAAGCTGAGAAGTTAAAACACAGTAGTCTTAGATATTCTGAAAGGTCACGTGGTAAAGGAAAAGTTTTGAGAACGTGATGTGTCCAAATTCACCAAATATTATTAAACTAGCATGGCACAATACCATGTGAGTCAACCCAGTCAGCAAGCACAGTGAAATGGATCAAACGCCATCACAAGCATTTATCTGAACCACTTGGGATGACACCAAAGACAGTTCGTTTACAACTTATATGTTATTGCCAGCAGGAGGCTTGGAGTGAGCACCTGTAATTGGAGGGGCAGAAGGTGAGGGGGTCAGAGTGCAAGATAGAAAGAGGGATGAACTGCTCCAGACTTTACTAAGCCCCTTGAGATCAGCCCCTCAATAATAGCCCCCCTTTAACACCTGTATACAGTATCTACCTTTACAACCCATCTTGCAGGTGAGGCTTACAGAGACTAAGGAATGTTTCCTTAGCCACACAAAGCAGGAACTCTGGGTTGAAGCAATGACAATACAGCTTGTCTGACTCTGTCATCCCTCTTGTCAGGCAGGACACACTCAGCGTGGAAGTATTTGCCATTCGAATTACACAGTAATCTACCAAGTTTTACACAAATAGTGTAGATTTCAGTGCCTCTTGAAATAATGGGCCTTTTCCTGCTCATGATCAGCATTTGAAGTGGAACAAGAGGCATTGTTTTCAAATGGACACAGCTTTTCTGTTTGTTCCAGTCCATAGCTCTGCAAACTTAGTCATATTAGCTTGTCCTCAGAAAGGCATTGTGGGAATGCACTCTGAAATTATCATGAGGGAACAAGATGATCCCATCACTTTTTGGCATAGGTTGGCGACAAAGAGGGCCTAGTCCAGCGTAAATGACAGCAATACTGAAGTTGCTGCTAGCACTTAGGGCACTGTTATCAGGAAGGAACTCCCAAGGGTGAGGAGGCCATCATTGCAGAGGGAAGATGAACTAGTTGGAGCAAGGCCAAGGAATGGCTTCCCCTTTTATACCCTAACACTCACTAGCTTCGGTGACTCTCACTTCAATCACTTAACCAGCAAGAACATGGAGCACAGAGCTGAAACTCATCAGATTTGTGCCCCAGCTAGGTCATTTACCAGATGCACGACTGTGATTCCAAAGACCACCACAACCCCAAAGGCAAAGCTGTTTCATTTACCTCCCTTGGCAAAGGGACACACTAAGGAAGACATGAATAAATTGTGCTCTGTGGATGAAATGCTGCAGAAAAGGTAAGCGGTGAGAATGGGTGAGCAGGATTTACAGGGCAGGAAATGGCAGGGATAGTATTGTATAGTTAGGGGCCAAGTCCAGTCCAGAGCTCGGAAGATAGCTGGTGTCTTGATGTCAGTGTCATCATGGGCCACGATCCTAGGAACACGAACCTCACAAGAACCAAAGATTTCTGTCAAGAGCCTGGGATCATATTCTCCAAAAATAGTCATGAAATTATAGTGCCTTTAGAAAAAAATCAACTGTATATTTAGCTGAGTTAAAAACAGTGTTAAGCAATTTAAAAAGTAAACTGACATTTTCCTTTTTTCTTTCTTATACATGTTCAGAGGTCAATTTTGAGTGGCAGTAAGGCTCCCGTTGATTTGAGGTTTCTGTTATAAAGCTATTATGCTTCAGTAGACAATGCTACTCCCTCAACAACACCATTCAAATCTCAGCTACTCGTTTTTTTTTTTTTTAACTGCACAGGGAATCACAGTTTCCTCCACCTAAAAATCACAATGTGAATAAGGGATGAGTGTCAGGATCACTCTTGAAGTCCTCCTGTGACTAGCCTTTGTTCTAAGTTCACACACAGACAGCAAAACAAATAGTTCTGTTTGTTCCTTGTCTGCCAGCAGTAGGCAGACACTTGGGAAAAACAATTTGATTGTTAAAACACGACTACTAGGGCTGTGAAGATGGCTCAGTTTGAAAAGTTATTCTCATTCAAGCATGAGGGTTTGAGTTAAATTCCTGGCAACCTCATGAAAAGGTGCACTGTGGGGCACACTGGCAAACCTGGTACTGGGGATGCAGGGACAGGAGAATCCCTCAAGTTTGATACCAACCAGTCTAGCCTAGTTGATGAGCTACAGGCAGGTAAGGTGCTCTGTTTCCAAAAACATGGTGCACAGTTTCTGAGGAAAAGACACCGAGAGCTGACCTGGTCTTCGTATGTACACACGTGCTTGCACTGCCCCACCACTGTAGTGACACATGCATGACATACATCATCTCCCAAATATGAGTGCAGTATAATAGAAACTACTATCGTGTATTGTGGAAACAATGCCGAAACATTCGAACAGAACACAAGTAGAACTATAGGAGAAATAATTGACCACAGGATTGTTGATACCAATAGTTGAACCTTAGATGGGCTGTCAGAGGCTCTTCATGAGGACAAAGCAACCCACATCCTAGAGGAAGTGACACAGGAGAAGTGATACTGGTGAAGGATTTTATCTGAGAGGTGCTCTCAGAGATATGTCGTGACAATGAGAACACAAAGAATTAAGTTTTGAAAATGGACCCAGACTTCTTAAGAAAGATGGCAATCCACTAAGGCAAAGAAAAGAGGTTAGCTCATGTGTAATAAAGTCATTGATCAAATTCTTCCTGGTAGGTTTTTTTATAAAACAAAATGAAACTTTAATTCTCAGTGCTCTTAATGAACAATGTGCTAAGTAAATATTAGTCTCATTGTTTTCCACTTTCTTAATATTTAATGTCTCAATAGACAGATCTGAAAAACGAGTTTTTGTTGAAAAGTCATGGACAGTGTCAAAATGCATCATCACTTTTATGGCCCCAGTTACAATGTGATTTATGGTGAGAAATATGTATTTGATATTCTGATAGTCAGTCAACTCCTGGCACAGAACTCCCAAAACTCTTGGCATGGCCAAAGCCAAGTGTCTTTTTGAATACTAATACGAAAACTTATGACCGAGGATTTTTGCTTAGCTTCAGAAGAGGTGTGTTCCAGTAAGGTAATGACATGATTTTAGGGTTATAATGTCCAGTCACTCCTGACCTCTGGGAAGGAGAAAAAGACTGAAGCTGAACTGTTCACCAAAGGACAATGACATAATCAATTATGGTTACAAAATAAAGTCTTAATAAAACCCCCAAAGGACAGGTTCATTGAGCTTCCAACTGCTGACTGTATGAAGTTATTGGAAGGAGGTGTGGCAGAGGCACTGCGGTTCTGTGTCCCTTCGAAAACACCTTTCCCTGCAAGCCTTCTCATGTGGCTGGCTGTTCATCTGTGCCCTTTCAATATAACTTACAACCCTTTCCCAGATTTCTCTGAGCCATTCTAAGAAAGCCAAAAAAAAAAAAAAAAGCAAAAACAAAATGAAAAACTTTAAAACCAAACCAAACCAAAATCAAAAAACAATTGAACATAACAACAACAACAACAACAACAACAACAACAACAACAAAACACTGGACCTGAGGAGTGAATTCTAAGAACTCCTTGTTTACAAATTGTTAGTCAGGGTTTGTGATTAATCCCTAATTAGAGGGCAGTCTTGTGGGACCTAGCCTTTATCTGTGTTTTCTGATTCTAGCTGAGGATATATGGGTCGGAACTGAATTAAGTTGTAGCACCCCAGTTTGGGTCTACTGACAACTGAAGAACTGTGCAGAGTGGGAAAATACCACATACCATTCCTGCTCTGTGTTGCATGTCCAGAATACAGTGCAGAAGCACTTTTTTTTCCTATACAGGGCCATTTTATCATGCAATTGAGGTCTTTCTTTATTAAAAAGATAGCATTCTTTACCCCGTGCAATACACAGAATGAATTAAGAGCCTAACAGTTATTTGGGATCTTTGAGTTATGAAGTAAAGCTATTGAGGACAAATACTTATTTTTTTCAATTGTCTCTAAAATTTCCAAGATCTAAAGTCAGAACATACAATGCCATCTTATTTTATTAATGATTATTTATCTGGTTAAAATCACTAAAGGTGTTTTCATACAGGCTCTTGTATAACATAAGCTACCATATTTTATCAGGCTACTCCTGGTATTAATAAAATGAAGTATAAAGATCAGGCAAAATAGAGAACAAGAGGCCCACCTGCCCTCAGAACCCTCCCACACACTCAGTTCAAAGCAGAAAAACCAAGCCGCTGACTCCCTTTTCCTCCTGCCCCACTGTCATGCTCCAGCCCCTACAGGGGCAGATATCTGTTGACCAGGTACATCACACTGGCTGCCAGAAATACAGACCACAAAAACTAGAAGACCAAAGAGGAAACAGAAACCAAAGAATAAAATACCCACTCAACAAAGACAAACTAAAAAAAATTAACACTTAGACCTATATTCACCCCAAACCCAGATGCCTAGATACCAGTGTAAGAACACAATCAACAACATAAGAGGTAATATTGAACCACCAGAGCCTAGCTATCCTACAACAGCAAGAACTGAACATTCTAGCACAGCCGAAGCACAAGAAAATGACCTTAAAACCAACTTATATGAAGAAGGAAGAGGTCCTTAGAGAGAAAAATGAATAAATACCTTTAAAAAATTCCAGGAAAGCACAAACATTGGAAATTAATAAATCTCTTAAAGAAAACTAAGAAAGCCAAGAAAACATAAACGAACAGAAAAAGAAATGAATAAAACTGTTCAAGACCTGAAAATGTGAATAGAAGCAATAAAGTAGACACAAGCTGAAGGAATCCTGGAGATGGAAAGTCCAGGTAAGCAAACAGGAACTATAGATACAAGCATCACCAAAGGATATAAGAGATGGAAGAGAGAGTCTCAGGCACAGAAGATATGATAGAAGATTGATAATCAGTAAGAGAAAATGTTAAATCTAAAAAATTCCTGACACAAAACATCCAGGAAATCTGGGACACTTTGAGAAGATCAAACCTAAGCAGAATAGGAATAGAAGGGGAAGAATCCTGTTCAAAATCCCAGAAAACTTTTTTTTTAACAAACTCTTTGAAGAACATTTTCA